TACCTATGACTATGGTCTATCAAGGACTATGAGACTACCAATGACTATGGTCTATCCAAGAATATGAGACTATCCAAGACTATAGGACTACCAATGACTATGGTCTATCCAAGACTATAGGACTACCAATGACTATGGTCTATCCAAGACTATGAGACTACCAATGACTATGGTCTATCAAGGACTATGAGACTACCTATGACTATGGACTATCCAAGACTATGAGACTATCCAAGACTATGAGACTACCAATGACTATGGTCTATCCAATACTATGAGGCTACCTATGACTATGGTCTATCAAGGACTATGAGACTACCTATGACTATGGTCTATCCAAGACTATGAGACTACCTATGACTATGGTCTATCCAAGACTATGATACTGCCTATGACTATGGTCTATCCAAGACTATGAGACTATCCAAGACTATGAGACTACCAATGACTATGGTCTATCCAATACTATGAGGCTACCTATGACTATGGTCTATCCAAGACTATGAGACTACCTTTGACTATGGTCTATCCAAGACTATGAGACTACCAATGACTATGGTGTATCCAAGACTATGAGACTATCAAAGACTATGAGATTACCTATCACTATGGACTATCCAATACTATGAGACTACCAATGACTATGGTCTATCCAAGACTATGAGACTACCTATGACTATGGTCTATCCAAGACTATGAGACTATCAATGACTATGGTCTATCAAGGACTATGAGACTACCAATGACTATGGTCTATCCAAGACTATGAGATTACCTATCACTATGGACTGTCCAAGACTATGAGACTATCCAAGACTATGAGTCTATCAATGACGATAAGACTACCTATGACTATGGTCTATCCAAGACTATAAGACTACCTATGACTATGGACTATCCAAGACTATGGGACTATCCAAGATTATGAGATTACCTATCACTATGGACTATCCAAGACTATGAGACTATCCAAGACTATGAGTCTATCAATGACGATGAGACTACCAATGACTATGGTCTATCCAAGACTATGATACTACCTATGACTATGGTCTATCGAAGACTATGAGACTATCCAAGACTATGAGATTACCTATCACTGTGGTCTATCCAAGACTATGAGACTACCTATGACTATGGACTATCCAAGACTATGAGACTACCTATGACTATGGTCTATCCAAGACTATAAGACTACCTATGACTATGGTCTATCCAAGACTATGAGACTATCCAAGACTATGAGACTACCAATGACTATGGTCTATCCAAGACTATGAGATTACCAATGACTATGGTCTATCCAAGACTATGTGACTACCTATGACTATGGTCTATCCAAGACTATGATACTGCCTATGACTATGGTCTATCCAAGACTATAAGACTATCCAAGACTATGAGACTACCAATGACTATGGTCTATCCAAGATATGAGACTACCTATGACTATGGGCTATCAAGGACTATGGGACTATCCAAGACTATGAGATTACCTATCACTATGGACTATTCAAGACTATGAGACTATCCAAGACTATGAGTCTATCAATGACGATGAGACTACCTATGACTATGGACTATCCAAGACTATGAGACTACCTATAACTATGGGCTATCAAGGACTATGAGACTACCTATGACTATGGTCTATCCAAGACTATAAGACTACCTATGACTATTGGCTATCAAGGACTATGAGACTATCCAAGACTATGAGATTACCTATCACTATGGACTATCCAAGACTATGAGACTATCCAAGACTATGAGACTACCTATAACTATGGACTATCCAAGACTATGAGACTATCAATGACTGTGGGTATCACCAAGAATATGAGTAACATGTGTAATAAGCATGTTATTCAACAATTTCTTCAGCTCGCCTTGTGCTTAAACAAATTTTCAGTTTGAAATGGGAATTCCACAAAAAGAGCCAGTTACATTGTTTGTTTGTTTGTTGTCTAACGCCGCACTCAGCAATATGCCAGATATTTGAATTCTGTCAATAAATTATCGAGGCTGGACCAGACAATCCTGAGATGGACATCATGAGCATCGATCTACGCAACGCAATTGGAATATGGTTTTATCTAATCTTCCAAATAGTAAATGTTTCTGGTCTACCATACGAGGATTATCTCAGAGCGTGGCAACCCGTGTACCTCACACACAATAGAACAATGGGTCGATCATGTTGTAGATGTGTTTGACAATCCAACAGATGAAGATATGGTTATCACCGATACGGCTATTAATGATAGTCATGATGATATGAGTTGCTATATTTTGGACTCCCGCATTCCATAAGAGGAGGTGTTATGTGCTATTAACTCTTTGAAATTTGATAAATCCGCAGGAAATGACCACCTCATTTCAGAATTTTTTTAAATATGCGAATGATATGTCCCGTAGCTTACAGTGCTGTTTAATAAGTTGTTTGATTATGCGTACTTTCCTGAATCTTGGTATTTGGGAATTATTGTTCCAATACATAAGCGAGGAGACATCAGTTCCCCATCCAACTGTAGGGGTATATCAGTCCTTAGTGCACTGAGTAAGGTGTATGTTTCTATTTTGAACAGAAGGGTCACGTCTTGGTGTGAGGTCTTTGGTAAAATTCCAGAGTCCCAGACTGGTTTCCGTCATGATTACTCCACCATAGATAATATCTTTATATTACAGTGTATTATCCAGAGATATCTCAGTAAGCGTAAGGGTAGGGTATATGGTTTGTTTTTGATTTTGCAAAAGCCTTTGACAGTGTCAACTGGATTAAATTATGGTCAGTACTAATCAAATGAGGCGTTTCTGACAAAATGATAAAAGCTATACACTCTATTAATACGGATGTTAAGGGTAGCGTTAATGTTTCAGAGTCCAAGAGGAGTACGTCAGGGTTGTGTGTTAAGCCCCCTTTTTTCGCGATGTTCATTAACGAACTAGCTGCTGAAGTTGAACAGAATTCTTGACCAGAAAGATGTTATAGAGATATTCCTGTTATTATTTACAGACGATATTATTCCAATCGCAGACACCATAGGGGGACTTCAGAAGCGTATTGAAGCACTTCCTGGTCAAGTCATTTCTCTAATGCTGGTTTACAGGGGAAACAATGTTTGAAATCTTAAATTCATTGATAAACTTACATCCTCTTCGACATGATTATATTTTAAAATATTTGATATGAAAATACTCCCAATTGTGCTCTATGGTTCCGAAGTCAGGGGTCCACACCGGAATGATGAAGTAGATTCCAGACACACATTGGCATTGACGCTTTCTGGGTGTCAAATCGACAATACCCAACAACATGGTTCGAGGTGAATGTGGGCGGTATCCATTATATCTTTATGCATACAAAAGAGGTATTGGTTATTGGATAAGATTATTGAGTATGTCCGTTTGTCGATTTCCAAAGAAATGTTATTATATGATGTTTCAGGCAGAAAGTAATGGTAAGGTTAATAGGATCTCAAAATGAAAATCTATATCGTTCAGTTTGGGTTTTGGCTCTGTATGGGAAAACCAGTGTATAAGTCATCCTCATTCGTTTTTGTCAGAATTTATGTCGCGTCTGAAATGTAGTTATGAACAGGATTGGCATAGCCTTCTGGATAAGGGTAGTAGATTTTTCTCGTATTCTCTATTCAAGGTATCCGTTTGGTACAGAGTTGTATCTCAGCTGTGTGACCGACATTAAATTGAGAGTGGCACTTGCTCGTTTTAGATGTTTTTCGCATCAGCTATGTGTTGAAACAGGGAGATACGCTAATATCCCACGTGACAGAACACAACTTTGTGTTTGTAATGCTGGGTATGTGGAGGACGAGTATCATTTGTTTTTAGTTTGCTCCGGTTAAAACAAGCTGCGGGTGGATCACTTACCATAGAAATATTGTGAATATCCGACCAAACAAAAATTTAAAATCATTTTGTCTACAACTGATTGTAAATAAATTGAACGTCTATCTATCTTTATCTATCAAGCGATGTCACTTTGTAGTACACGATTGACAGAACAATAACAGCTGTGTACATTACGTCCATTGTAATACAAAGGTAACTATGGGCCGATGGCCTACACTTACGAAATAAACCGAATTGAATACGATGACATGCATCAACCAAGTCAGCGAGCATGAGCACCCAGTCCCGTTTGTCGCCTCTTACGACAAGCATAGTCGCCTCTTACGGCAAACATGGGTTGCTGAAGACCAATTCTACCCCGGATCTTCAAGGGTGGAGCCAGTTAAAATACCGTCCTGGCGTGTGTTGTTTCTTTACATAAATACAGAATACTATGTGATGAAATGAAGAGACAAAGTAGATAACATATAAAATACTGATAGAGACAGGTAAGACCTAGAGCTACAGACAATGAAACCTGGATGCAGCGATACCTTGATCTTCATTACGACATGATGTCAATTACTGGATTGTCTGGTCAAGACTCGATTATCTACAAATATTTACATATATCTGTAATAGTGATGAGTGCGGCGTTAAACAACAAACAAACAAACAAACAAAGAAGACCAATTCTAACCCGGATCTTCATGGATTGTAAACTTGTAACACGCGAGGAACATGTCCCTAACATGACGTATCTTTCACCTGTTTCATGGCCACGAGGCCTGAAGTACGAAATAAACATGATTGATTTATTGATGTCTTATATACACGCACAACGGTCGAATAACCTTTCGAAAAACGTATGGCACTGCGCTAAAATTGATATTCTAAGTGGTCACTTTCAAAGATACTTCTTACAACTCAGAATGGTAGCGTCTGTTGAGGATGTTGTCAATAACAAACGATCATCTATTATATCAACCACATCACATTCCCAGTGTGATGGGTCTATTCATCGTCATGGATTCTTCACCTCAGAATGCCCAGTAAAACCAGTGAAATAAGAGTATAGAAATTATTCACGAACCACTTGTCGTTAATGTAAATGTAAATTGATGTTGGCGTATTTTCTGATGTGACAAGGACTTGGTCTATATCGTCAGAGTGTTGTCCCAATCAATAGTGTTTATCAATATTGCCAAATGATGTACGTACACGACGCCTAAAATAAGCCCATTTGTAGCGGACTGGGTCTGCGATAAGGAGCAGCGCTGGGACCATGTGGCTTTTTCCTTGGATGTCCTGTTTTCTGATAGTCCACCAAATCAAAGGTAACCATTGTTTTTAGCATAGATTTCCGGTCTTACCTTGATCAGGTGATCAGGAGTGTGGGCTGCACGTGCACACTATGCAAAGCGTGAAATTTGGCGGTGTGTTGCACGTGCATACCATACAAAGCGTGATATTTGGCGGTGTGTTGTACGTGCATACCATGCAAAGCGTGATATTCGGTGGTGTATCCATTCCATGCCATGTGTGATATTTGACTGTGTACCTCACGTGCATCCATGTAAAGAATGATATTTATTGAGTTGGTGTGTTAGAATGTAACGTCACATCAACAAAATATCAGCCATATCGTGACGAGAAGTTTTACATTACTAATACCTATCTTTAGACTTAATAAAAACCTTTCATCAACTAGAATATCACAGATTCGGTTTGAAATTAGTTGAAATAAACATGTGGGATAGGAGATAAAAAGGGGTGTCACAGATTTGTTGAGCGCTGCTTCGCAGCAGCATCGGCCATGGTGTTAACAATGATTCCAACATAGTCGGGTAACCAACAAAAGACGATGTCATATTGGCCAGTTGCGAGATAATGAAGTGGATGAGGGTGTTTACAAGGCATATTTGAATTGTTTATGTTTAGATTGGGTGTTGATATATTTTAGTGCTGTTAAAATGGCGTTTGCTTCTGTTGTGAATATGGTATTCTTATCTGGTAATCGTGAAGATACTGTTCTGGATGCAGTGACAGTGGCACTAGAAACTGTGCCACCATCCTTGGGTCCATGTGTAAATATAGATTTTATAAGTGCCCATCTGTATCAATGTGGGGGACTCCAGAACTCTGCTTCACACGTACCATGTGGGGAATTGAACCCGGGCCTTCGGCGTATTGAGTAACCGCTTCAACCACTTGGCCACCCAACCGTCCCCCTGGATCAAAGTTGGTTGGTTGGTTTGTTGTTTAACGTCGCACTCAGCAATATTCCAGCTATATAACGGCGGTCTGTAAATAATCGAGTCTGGACCAGACAATCCAGTGATAAATATCATGAGCATCGATCTACACAATTGGGATCGATTACATGCATCAACCAAATCAACGAGCCTGACCACCACCTGATTTCTGAAGACCCTGGCTCAAAAATTTGATGCGAGTGAAATATTAAAAGACGTACTTGTAAAACCTTCTAAACATGTTTCGCTTTAATTAACCTTACAAGTTTAATTCTCATGGATCAGTGTACCCTCACGTGTCATTCTCAACTCCCTGGGGAGTAAAGAACTCAAACTGCATCTAAGGTGCTAGAAGGTTAACACTCATGTCTTCATTCTGTCCACAAAAACTAGGAGTGACTGGGCCAATACTAAAAGCTCGTTTCCCGGTAAGTAAGTCGTGTGACATACACGTCCGTTCCTGTTTCAGCATCTAAGGAATTTACAGTCCACTACACCGTCCCGGATGTTGAGACGAATCAGGCTGACGCACAGGCTCTGTGCGCAGCATCCGGGTATCACCTCGCAACCATACCTGATGCGCAGACCATGGAGTTCCTTGAAGACTTTCTCATAGAGTAGGTAGTTGTATTGCTGATATGTGCGTGCGCTGAGCGAGTACGCATTTATGCCACTTGTTGTATGCGGAGTTAAACAACAAACAAATAAAACACTATTGTAAAAATGTTTTGGTAACAAAAGAAAGTATACACCTGTGTTTAATTGTGGCTAAAATGAACAATAAAAAATGATTATCAATGGTGATGTATTTGCTGCGGGTATCATGGTTGTGTTTTGATCTTTACGTTTGCAGTGTTCAGGCGATTGTTGTCAGCCTGGTAATATTTTGGTAAGGGTTGCAATAGTTTGGTCAAATCCAGTTTTCAAATGTTTACTTTCTTTTCCCCGGCAGTTAAGTCTGAATGCTTTGAATTGAGACTTAAGAAACTTCAAATAGATAGTCAAATAATTATTGAAAGGGTTATGTAGCTTTTTTTGTGTTTGATGTGAGCATTTACTTACTGACCAATGACTAGTCGGGAAAGTAACATAACCTGGGAGATGTTGACATGTTGTCTGATCTCAAACAAGCGGTTTCTTCTTTTGGAGAATCTGATAATAAACAAAGTTATCGGTATTTATTGAATTACGTCTATCAAAACAAAAGGATAGGGGTATCGACGTCAACTTTTGATATTTTGAAAAGCCATTTGTTTGTTGTGGAACGTCGCAGTCAACTAAAATTCAGCGGCCTGTAAATAATCGTGTCTGGGTCAGACTGGGTACGTTGACAGTCACGGCATTGCGCCAAACCCCTAATTGTCGCTTCCTAACACCAACATGTCGGTCACTGGGGACCTATTCCGACGCGGCAAAACAAACAACAGCAGTAAAAACAACAACAACAACTACAATGACAATACTACTACTAGCACTAATAAGAATAATAATAGTATTGTTGTTGTAGTTGTAGGTGTTGTTTTTGCTGCTACTACCACTACTACTACTAATCCTACTACTACTAAGACCCGTGAAGATTCCTATGCTTGTCGTAAAAGGCGACTAACAGGATCGGGTGGTCAGGCTCGCTGACATGGTTGATGCATGTCATCGATCCCTATTGCGTGGATCGATGCTCATGATATTAATCACTGGATTGTCTGGTCCAGACTCGATTATTTAACAGACCGCCGTCATATAGCTGGAATATTGTTGAGTGCGGTGTTCAACAACAAACAAACAAACAAACAAAACTACTAAGACCCGTGACGAACCGGGGTAGAATAGGTCTTCAGCAACCCATTCTTGCCGTCAAACGCGACTATGCTTATCGTAAGATCCGACTGACTGGATCGGGTGGTCAGGCTCGCTGACTTGATTGATACATGTCATCGATCCCAATTGCGTAGATCGATGCTCATGATGTCAGTCACTGGATGGTCTGGTCTAGACACGATTATTTACAGACCGCCGTCATATAGCCTGCATATTGCTGAATGCGGCGTTAAACAACAAACAAAACAATGGACAACCCAAGCTCCACATGGGGGTATCGGTGGTGAGAGTGTATTTCGTTCTGTTCTACCAGGTACACCTGCTGAATTTGCAATAAACTCACTGTACATGTTCTCCACTGTGTAGCGACGTCGGGTCTGCCTACTGCACTGATGCCTGGATAGCCCTCGAGTACGAAGCCAGCAGTGGGCAGTTCAAATGGCCGAATGGCGAAGAAGCGGAATACACCGACTGGTCTGGACTTTCTAGTGAACCAGATCAAATGAATGCTGGCGAAGTTTGTGTTCGGCTGGCATTGTTGTCTGCCGATGTTTATACTTGGAGGACAACAGCCTGTCACATGCCGTACTTTCCTATTTGCGAAAAATGTACGTATTAACCAGTGTTTTGAATGGGTACCCGGTAGGATGGGATGGCAATGTGGCTGTTAACCTTCTAGCGCCTGACAGGCAGCTTGGGCTGTATACGCAACAGGGAGCTGAGAATGATTCTTGAGTGCACACTGATCCAGTGACCGAGATAATAATATCGCTTTGAGCAATTATAAATGGCCGGTTATTATAATGATTATTATTATACACATTTCTGGGGGTTTTCTTACCATGTCGGTTTAGTACTATTGACCCAATTCACAGTCAGTCTGAAAGTTTGAGTTTGGAGCTACTGATTTTGTTTAAAATTTGAAATTTCTTTGGTGCTATTTAAGAAATTAACGACTCGTTGTACGATAAACAACGACCACGAGTCGTTTTTTTCATATATAAGATATCAATATGATGTAGAGCTCCTTAAAGGATGATGGTGAAATGTACGAGCTTCATAGATACCCATTCGTATTTTAATTATAATGACTCCCTGAATAGAATCCGACCTCGGCAATATCGGACCGTTTTATGCACAGGTGGGTACTCCCGCATATCCTCGCAGTCCTCATGTCAATTACCTGTACCTTTTCTCCCAATGCCGATTGTCATATGTCCACCCTTTTGGATGCGATCGTTTGTCCACCGCGCTCATCTTCGTTGCCGAGCAACACCTATGGGGGACAACTCACTATAGACACTCCCCTCTCAAAAATAACATCTTCCAATATTTGACGTAATCTAGTTGCGACCGCATGTTCGAATCTCCAGATGTGACGTCACTTTGCGTTCTTCATTGTTCTCTGCGATTTATCGCGTAGCTATCTTATATTATTACTTGCCCGTGAAGAGATCACCCGTTTAATAAACATACAGCTTTATTACACATTGTGTAATACCAAAACGCGTGCTTATGTACTCTCGGAACACGTTTCACGAACAAATATTGAAAGCTCTCAACATCCCTTGGCGTATTCAACGACATTGTGTGTGGAGATGATAGATCACTGAGAGGAGCTTATGCACACTCGATGACCCCAGCAACCTTGTTGCTAGGCTGACGTCACATGGCATTGTTTCGCCGATGGATCTTGCAACAAAATTCAACAAATTACGTCATCGGGTATTGTGACGTGATTGTAAACTTTGAGGTGCAAGGCCCCATCCACAAGGCGATCGTACTCTAGCGCAACGACAGTCGTTAGTCTAAGTTAAATTATGTGAGTTGTGATAGCCTTAGCACTACGATCATTTTGTGGGACGAACGCCTGAATTCTAAAGGTGGACCATTGTATGATATTAGATTCATACGTTTCAACTTTTGATTGTTTGAAGTATTATTCTGTTAAACTCAATTGGATTATGCCATGGATCGTGTAGGCGTCAGCCTATTTACACTCAACAGTATAATTCTAAAAACATTATAAATGACAAGTAATAAATAAAATACTAAACTCGCTCTCGTGTAAAACCAATTTTATGAAACTCGTGAATAGTTGTGGTATCTGACTCGCTTTCGCTCGTCAGATACCAGAACTATTCACTCGTTTCATAAAATTGGTATTACACGGGAGCTCGTTTAGTATTCTATATTTTACGTATAACGTCTCGGAGTTCGAAACAATGGTATGACGTCACGTTCATCAGAAATAACACTGACGATATGACGTCATTACATAGGCAACGTTGTACTCGAACAGTCGGTAGTGTCCTGATACATCCATAGTATGGATGAAGTTGCCAATACAGTGAAAAGGGAGATGCACACACATGCTTCTTCCAAACCCCCTACCCCTTATCATCAAACGGCCACCCGTGAAGACCCGGGGTAGAATAGGTCTTCAGCAACCCATGCTTGCCGTAAAAGGCGACTATACGCGTCGTAAGAGCGACTGACAGGATCGGGTGGTCAGACTCGCTGACATGGTTAATGCATGTCATCGATCCCAATTGCGTGGATCGATGTTCATGATGTCAGTCACTGGATTGTCTGGTCACGCTCGATTATTTAACAGACCGCCGTCATATAGCTGGAATATTGCTGAGTGCCGCGTTTAACAACACACAAACAAACAAACAAATACAAACGGCCAATCATTACTAACTACAGTATCAAACGCGCTCTAGACATTGTGTCTGATCATTGTTTTGTGTGAAATATACCGTCTCAAACATCAGCTGACCATATCAGGAGATGTGTAGCTGGTATTATGCCTGTAGTCCTCGCTACTTGAAATAGAATCACGAAATATCGCGATAATTAATTAACGAAAATAGCTGCTGGTGTCCTGATAAGTGAACACAAGCAATTCCTGCGGCAAGGAATATTTGTTACAGTAATGACAAAATGTGCTAAGTGTGCCTTTCAAGAAATAGCGATAAACTTGAGTTTTGATCAGGTGTTTTAGAACAGTACAGTAACTGGAACATATGCACACATCGTTAATAAGTAATGGTGATATTTCGTGATTATATACCTCCAAACATGGTAACATGGTTTATTATTCTAGCATATTTTATAACAGTACATTAACTTTAAAGTAACATAAATACATTGATTGCCATAATCAGCAGACAGATAGAGGCTTGCAGTTTAGCGAGTCTTTTTCATGCAGCTCCATCCAATAAACAATGTAATATTGACGTATTATTCCTGGAGAAAATGACCAGAAGTGATGAGCCATACTTGTATTAATCATGTGTTCTGTTCTCTTCACAGGTATAACAAACTACATCGACCTCGTCCCCAGCCTCAACTTCGTCAACACGACGATGCTCGACATCATCCAAGTAGCCTCCCCTATAGAGTGCGCTGCTAGGTGCATGGAATTGTTCCAGTGTGACAAGATGACGTATGTCAACCACCAATGTTCCATCTACTCCTACAACATAGCCACGTGTTCCACCATGCAACTGAAGATAGACCTCTAGCAAAAAATGTTCTCGGATGTGTTACTGATGGACATATTTTCGCTGTACAGAGTTGCGACCTTTCCGTGTGCCAGAACACTATGACCATAGGTTCGAATCCCAGGTTCAGTCTGATGATATTTCCAGGTTTGTCAGCACCATACCTGTGCTCGTGGGTAAACGTCGGATCCTGCGTCATTCCTGGCTTGTCAAGTTAACACGTTGTGATATAACTGAAATACTGTAGTTCAAAACGGCGTTAATCTCATTTCTTTCGAATCCCCCAAGAGAACAATCTAATTTGTACGACATTTTGAAAAGGAAACTTTTCAAAGTCTCCTATAAGATGTACATGTGTTTTTTTTTAATAATTCAAAATTATATCAAGCATACTGTACCATGACGTGTTGAATGGGGCATCCTTGTCATATGCATGGAACAGTGCTTAGTGTGGCGTTCAACAAGAATAAATCATATACACACCTAGAAGTTCAAGTTGTCGTGTAAATATATATAAGTTTGAGTATCTACCATGGTATTTTATCCTGTGGGAATCTTGCTAGTAGTAGTAGTAGTAGTAGTAGTGGTAGTAGTAGTAGTAGTAGTAGTGGTAGTAGTAGTAGTAGTAGTAGTAGTAGTAGTAGTAGTAGTAGTAGTAGTAGTAGTGAGTGAGTGAATATGGTTTTACGCCGCTTTTAGCAATATTCCAGCAATATCGCGGCGGGGGACACCAGAAATGGGCTTCATACATTGTACCCATGTCGGGAATCGAAACGGGTCTTCGGCGTGACGAGCTTACGCTTTAACCACTAGGCTACCCGACCGCCCAAGTAGTAGTAGTAGTAGTAGTAGTAGTAGTAGTAGTAATAATAATGGGAGGGCTTGGTTAGATGATAGAATTGTCTTGTGCACTCGTCTTGTGAAGCAAGTAAAGACTCATGATGAAAACAATGCATTCCACAGTTTTCTTAAACGAGCCAAGGATGTGGGACATAATCATATACTGGACCGCAAAAGAAACGTCACCCCAAGTAACATTGCATGAAAAGTTATTGGGTAATTTTTGTCAAAGTTTCTAAAATTTAACATTACCTTGTCCAGAAAAATGAAATTTGATGATAAAAAAACAAAGCAGATGACAATAAAACCGATCGCCCATACGCATCATGGCAACGGCCATGGTAGCCCGATGCACGTGAGTTCCGTGCAAATTGAAATGCGCACTCGTTCCCCCATTTCTTGCCCTATAAAAATCCACCCAGATCGGATAACATTCATTCGTTATTAAATTGCTACCACATGCCAAGATTGACAACAAATCAGCGACACCAAGCCCTTGGACGATTACAAGTTGGACAAACCACCCGACAAGTAGCTAATGCATTTCAAGTCCACGTAAGGACCATATACAGGCTCCAGCAACGGTACCAGACCACCAACACTACAGATGACCGACAACGTAGTGGAAGACCAAGGGTCACCACCAGACGTCAGGATTGTGCGACAGCATCTTCAAGATTACTTTGTTACTGCTGTGGAAACTGCTCGACAGACCATGGGGAACAAACAAGCGACACATAAGTGCGAAAACGTGCGTCGACGATTGACGAGCAGACCCTTCCACTGTCACAGGCCACACCGAGGACCCATTCTGACACCACGTCATCGTCGGGACCGTCTTCAGTGGGCAACACAGCACCAGCATTGGCGCCACCAGCAGTGGAGAAGAGTCCTCTTCTCAGACGAGAGCAGTTACTGTATCTAAACAGCAGATGGCAAAGAGCCTGGCGACGCCGTGGTGAACGTTATTCGGATGCTTGTGTTGTTGAGAGAGATTCGTGGGGTTTTCCGGGCATCATGGTGCGGGATTGAATTGGTCTTGCACAGAGGGTTGGCCCTGTGGTCTTCCAGAACATCGGTCCAGGGAGAGGCAATGGTGCCACAGCAGCTCGGTACAATGATCAAGTCTTAAGACCACACGCAATACCTCATTTGGCACGTCGCCGCAACTACGAGTTTCAGCATGATAACGGCCGTGCCCATACTGCGAGAGCAACAAGAGACTTCCTCCAGCAGAATGGCATCAGAATCATGCCGTGTCCTGCCCTCAGTCCCGATTTAAATCCCATTGAGCACCTGTGGGACGAGATTCAAAAACTTCTGAATGACGTCCGACCAAGGCCGACAACTGCAGCTGAACTGCGTCAGGCGTTCCTCAAGTGCCTATGGCCTCCATCAACCGCCTCATCCATTCCATGTATCGACGTTGCACGGCAGTTATCAATGCACATGGCGGACACACGAGATACTGACTTGTGATGCCATTTTCTCACAGACTAGTGTTGTGTTTCACTTTAAGAACATTTGACACTTTAATTTCAACCTTGATGATCAGTTTTGCCAAGTTTCATCGTTTTAATATGTCTCAAAGTATGTGTTACAGTGTTTGGACAAATAAGGTTTCTCATATATTTATCCTTGGTGACGTTTCTTTTGCGTGTCAGTATATAATCGCAATGTCAATGTTGATATTGTTGATGGTTCCGTACTGCTTGGCGGTACAGAAACGAGTATCAGACAAGAGAAAAGCTATATCAAATCGGCACAGACTCAGTTTTTCAAGGAGAGACTATCTGAACGACCACTGCACCGAGTTTATGTGCAGTGGTTTGAGAGGATCAGCAACTCTGCAGAGTCCTTGCTTGGATGAGTCGGCTGGCCTGAAAAGTGAAACAGAAGGCTTTCTGTTTGCTGTTCAGGAACAGTCATTCGAATGTATGATTTTGCATCAAAATGTAAATATAAAATTAGATTATGCAATAAATTTAATGAGACTGTCCACATTGTAACACATTGTCAGTGGATGCCCAGCTTTGGCACAAACACAGTATCTTAAGCCACATGATGGAGTGACTCGATCCATTTATTAACGTCTTCGCCATGCTTGTGGTTTTGACACAGAGGTCCCAATATAAATACAAATATTCTGTGGAATAGGCCAGTATTCAGCCTCAGACCTATCCAGGCCAACAAACCTAATCTTGTCCATCATCATAAACCAATGAAATCATTTATATCATTGAACTTTTCGTCCCTTTTGATACTAATGTGATTGACAAGATTCAGGAGAAACATGGCAAATATGCAGACCTCGCTTTTGAAATGTTATGCTTGCATCCCAAGTACCAAGTTGTCCGTCTACCCATTATTCTCAGTGCTTCAGGTTTGGTACCTCCCAATCTGTTGACTGACATTGGGAGAGTACCCGGGTTTGCTTCCAGGAATACAACCCTTCTGACAATCTGGGTAATACAGAAGGCTGCAGTGTTGGGGAGTCTTCACATTCTCCGAAAAGTTCTGGGTGGGTTCGACTGGGTAGCGCTTCCTGGGAGAAGTCCCATTCGCCGTCTAGGCTGCGTGTATAGAGAGCGCAAGGGCCCTGAGCTGATGATGAGCCTAACCAGCCTGACTGTGCCAGGATCACCCAAACCCTCTTTTCTGCCTTTATTTAATTTAACCTGTAAATGATAATAATATGAAGAACAAGAAGAAGAAGAACGGTAAGCGGGAGTTCGATCCTGGCCGCGTTATACCAAAAAGACGTTTAAAGATAGCACTTGGTGTTACCCTGCCTGGCGCCCGGCATTACGGGGCTTAAACAAGGACTGGTCGGCTCAGGATGTCGAGACATTAGTCCGGACTAGTGCAAGCAGCCACACACACACATGTGCATGCAAGTCGCTATAAAAGTGCAATAATCTTGGAGGCGACGTTAAACTCAATTTCACCTCTCCTTTTATTTAATTGTTTTCGGAATCAATGTCTTCTGTCACCAGGCAGCATTCTTCTGGGTGCGGTGAGGTGGCCAAGTTATTCAGAGATATATGACCTGTGTGAGATTGCGCTCATCAGCAACATTAGCCCATTCCGCCGTCGTGATGGTGCAAAAATACAGCTAATGGATGCTTATATTGTATTTTATCCGAAGAGTGAGTGAGTTTCGGTTTTACGGCGCTTTTAGCAAAATTCCAGCAATATCACGGCGGTTGACACCAGAAATTGGCTCAACATGTTGGGAATCGAACCTGGGTCCTCGGCGCGACGAGCGAACGCTTTAATCACTAGGGTACCCGACCGCCCCTTTTATCCGAAGAGGATTGTTTTATCACAATAACTGAATGTAGAAGGAAAATCAACATGTTTACCACTTTAATAAAGCACTTGTGAAGCGATACTTAACTTTACTTCAATAATAACGCCATCAGGAAGATAAGATCCTACATTGTTCTTTAACCTTAGCTTCTTCGTAGCGAGTTGACTGACCTTGAGGACAAACATCGCATTGTTTGTATCCCGGCGTGCATAGGCACAGGGTTCAAGGCCGTCTGGTGAATATCTTCCCGTTCCCCAAATACCTGTAAGACAGAAATTATGTATTTAAAATTAAATTGTTTCAGTGAAATCAGGAAGTGGACAACAATTCGGCCGTCACTATCATCTGATCGTGAGATAGTGGTGAAGACTAATGTGAAGACTAATGTGAAGACTAATGTGAAGACAGGCTTCAGCATCAGTACCCTAGTTGCTATTGTATTGCACATTAACAGTTGAAGTGGTCAAGGAATCTGAAAGATCGCTCCGTGTCTTTGTTCTGGTGATGATCGCTTGTGCTCGAAATCATACAAAAAACCCTTCAGAATCTTTATCACCATGGACAACGACATGTAACAACATACACTGTAACGACACACTGTAGCTCCACAGAGTAACAATTAGCTGTAACCTGACACTGTAACATCATACTCAAAGCGAGGCTTCCGACCCATAGGGGTTCACGTCCTGCTTGTACCTCCGTGATATGGTTTGAAGATATTTTTTTCTTAATGAAATGGATTTGTCTTAATGCCAATGGTTTGTCTTAATGCAGCTTATGGGGTAGAATAGGTTTTCAGCAACCCATGCATGCCTCATAAGGCGACTATGCTTGTCGTAAGAGGGACTATGCTTGTCGTAAGAGGCGACTAACGGGATCGGGTGGTCAGACTCGCTGACTTGGTTGACGCATGTCATCGATCCCTATTGCGTGGATTGATGCTTATGATGTCAATCACTGGATTGTAGGTCCAGACTCGATTTTTTACAGACTGCCATCATATAGCTGAAATATCGAAATATATAACAACAAACAAACTAACTAACTTCACGCATCTTCAATTCAAAGACATGAATACGTATTGCATGGCATACCAAATATAGACAATTAATGTCATATACAAATATTTGCTAATATCGGACCCTAATTTATTACCATCAGTTAAGCAAGTACAAAATCATTAGATTATGAGTAGATAATTGAACTATGAGTCCCTCTTGAAAAATTGATTCTGTGATAAATGTGTGTACAGAATTATTTCTGTGTTTCTACAACTTTTTCAGCATTACGATACAAAGCTGTTTTTATATCATACCAATGTGAATAGTAATACGTATTATTTCTAATAATGCGTGATTTGGACACACAGGTAGGTAATGAATAATTTCCATAATTATCGCCACAAGAGCAGGATAGGTCATTGAAAAAAAAATCATTTTTAGGTGAATTTAAACCGCTACAACCTAATCTGAGTCGAGAATTTATTGCTTGGCAGAATCTTTTTTTCCAAAATTGGCATCAAATCCACATTTATGTTCCAATTTTGGAGTGATCATGTCTGTAAAAGTACATAAAGATTGTACTGATTATATATCTTCTGGTAAAGAGTTCTAACGTTCTACAGTACTAGGCAGGAACGATTTTATGATTTCAAGATGATGTTCTGGCGTTAATAGGTTTCATTTCTGTAGAATTTCTTAATTTGTAAGGGTTACCCGCTGATACATAATCATGAACAATATTACATAAATGTATGTCATCTATATTGTCGTCCATTCTATGAAATGTGTCAGCTTCTGTATCCAGGGATATAAAACTTGTTTCAGCATCCACTTTACTGTGACTCGTACATCTCGTTTCCCAACATAATTCCCCCGACAAGTAACCACGTGTGACCCTTTCCACAATGCTATCTATGTTGGACTTTCAAAATTGCATTTATAAAAAAAATATTTTATTGTTTCTGGTTGTTGTTTTCTGGATTGATCTTCATCTGCCACTGATTTGCCCACAGTGAATTTGTTTCTATATTATTATTTAAACGTGTTGTTGTTGTAATTGCGTCATCAATTATTGCGTAAAGTGATATATTGTCTGCGAATGGTCACACATTACAATCAACTTATGACTCTGTCCAAAAGTGCCTCTGTTCACCCAGCAGGAAACGGGTGCCCGATATGTGAAGGTGGATGTAAAAACTCTCTGGCGCCAGTAGGCAGCTTTGGTTGTATACTCCCAAGGGAGTTGAGAATGATAGCTGAAATCCAAACGGATCCACTGGTCGTGGAACAAAAAAATCGCATCTGAGCAGAAACTAGTACATGGATTCCTGCGGTATACAAATGTATAATAAACATTAAATAAATATTTAAAAGATAATCCCAGTAATACGCACATAAATATGACATTAGTTTCGCCTTATCAAGCAAAGATAAATAATTTATCTTTCTTTCCTATGTTCATGGGGGTTTATAGTCACTTAAGTAACATAATACGAGACAATGATCGCTACTTACAGGGTCTAGAGCACATGAAGAACACACATTACTATAATTAAAAACAAATATTAATTCTATGCGAGTGATCAGTAATCCTTGCTGGTTCAATAATAAATTGAATAATTTGAATAATTAAATTGAATAATTTGAATAATTACATGAAATAATTTAAATACTTAATTGACATTGCGTGGTCGGTATCCATTTTGTTCCGAATCTGTTTGTTTCAGGTTAAAACTCCATGTCACTCATGTTACAGGTCCGTGTCTGCCTGGAACGTCTTCCTCTGATGGCCTTCAACCCTGTACTCCTTGCCCCCGGGGGTCGTATCAAAGCTCGCTGGTAAAAAACAAACTGTGGCGTTTATAATAATAATTACAATGATGTATTGCGCCAAATTCTCACACTAAAGCATGCTCAAAGTGCTACATTATTAAAACATTATTATGGATCAGTGTGTAGCTGATATTCAATACCAGGGGTACACGGGAGATGGAAACAACAGAACAATATCAGGGATACACGGGAGATGGGAAACAACAGAACGATGTCAGGGGTACACGGGAGATGGGAAACAACAGAAGAATATCAGGGGTACACGGGAGATGGGAAACAACAGAACAATATCAGGGATACACGGGAGATGGGAAACAACAGAAGAATATCAGGGGTACACGGGAGATGGGAAACAACAGAACGATATCAGGGATACACGGGAGATGGGAAACAACAGAAGTATCTAAGGGGTACACGGGAGATGGGAAACAACAGAACAATATCAGGGGTACACGGGAGATTGGAAACAACAGAACAATATCAGGGGTACACGGGAGATGAGAAACAACAGAACAATATCAGGGGTACACGGGAGATGGGAAACAACAGAACAATATCAGGGATACAAGGGAGATGGGGAAACAACAGAACAATATCAGGGATACACGGGAGATGGGAAACAACAGAACAATATCAGGGATACTGGGAGATGGGAAACAACAGAACAATATCGGGGATGTACGGGAGATGGGAAGCAACAGAACAATATCAGGGGTACACGGGAGATGGGAAACAACAGAACAATATCAGGGATGTACGGGAGATGGGAAACAACAGAACGATATCGGGAAGAGACGGGAGATGGGAAACAACAGAACGATATCAGGGATACTCGGGAGATGGGAAAGAACAGAAGAATTTCAGGGGTACACGGGAGATGGGAAACAACAGAACAATATCAGGGATACACGGGAGATGGGAAACAACAGAAGAATTTCAGGGGTACACGGGAGATGGGAAACAACAGAAGAATTTCAGGGGTACACGGGAGATGGGAAACAACAGAAGAATTTCAGGGGTACATGGGAGATGGGAAACAACAGAACAATATCAGAGATACACTGGAGAAGGGAAACAACAGAAGAATATCAGGGATACACGGGAGATGGGAAACAACAGAACAATATCAGGGATGCACGGGAGATTGGAAACAACAGAACGATATCAGGGATACTCGGGAGATGGGAAAGAACAGAACGATATCAGGGATACACGGGAGATGGGAAAGAACAGAACAATATCAGGGATACACGTGAGATGGGAAACAACAGAAGAATTTCAGGGGTACACTGGAGAAGGGAAACAACAGAACAATATCAGGGATACACGGGTTATGGGAAACAACAGAACAATGTCAGGGGTACACGGGAGATGGGAAACAACAGAACAATATCAGGGGTACACGGGAGAAGGGAAACAACAGAACAATATCAGGGATACACGGGTTATGGGAAACAACAGAACAATGTCAGGGGTACACGGGAGATGGGAAACAACAGAACAATATCAGGGGTACACGGGAGATGGGAAACAACAGAAGTATCTAAGGGGTACACGGGAGATTGGAAACAACAGAACAATATCAGGGGTACACGGGAGATGGAAAACAACAGAACAATATCAGGGGTACACGGGAGATGGGAAACAACAGAAGTATCTAAGGGGTACACGGGAGATAGGAAACAACAGAACAATATCCCTCACTCCCTCTAATGGGGACTGCCGGGTAGCCTAGTGGTTAAAGCGTTCGCTCCTCACGCCGAAGTCCCGGGTTCGGTCCCCGACATGGGTACAATGTGTGAAGCCCATTTAAGTTGTCCCCGCCGTGATATTGCAGGAATGTTGCTGAAGCGGCGTAAAATCATACTCACTTACTTATAAACGTTGCGTGGACTTTTCTGAAAAGAATTATACTTCTATGCTGTTTAGGGTTTCAACTTATAATTAGAACGTGTTCGTGTGTTGAATGACGTCATGACAGTAATACATGTATAAATTCCAATAGGCGAGATGTTGCATATCTGTGCAGTATTCACTGTAGTCGAGTTTTTGTATACACGATGCCTTCGTTGAGTCAGTAAGAAAAGATCTGTAAAAACATTTGTGTACGCACGCTGAAAAAGCCACATTGGGTAATTATGTTAAGTGTTCTTATACTTTAGGATTAACTAATTTCTTCATACGTATTTGCATGCAAGCAGACCCGCGAAGATCCGGGGTAGAATATAGGTCTTCAGCAACCCATGCTTGTCGTAAAAGGCGACTATGCTTGTCGTAAGAGGCGACTCACTTGTGTGTGTGTGTGTGTGTGTGTGTGTGTGTGTGTGTGTGTGTGTGTGTGTGTGTGCGTGCGTCCGTGCGTGCGTGCGTGCGTGCGTGCGTGTGTGTGTGTGTGTGTGTGTGTGTGTGTGTGTGTGTGTGTGTGTGTTGTTTAACGCCTCACTCAGCAACATTCCAGCTATGCGACTGCGATCTGTAAATAATCGAGTCTGGACCGAACAATCCAGTGATTTACATCATGAGCATCGATCCAATTGAGATACGATGACATGCATCAACCAAGACAGCAAGCCTGACCACCCGATCCCGTTAGTCGCCTCTTAAGACAAGCATAGTTACCTTTTACAGCAAGCATGGGTTGCTGAATACCTGTTTTACCCCGGATCTTCACGGGTCTACTCTCTATACAGATGACATTATTACATATGGAAATTATTATCTATATATTACCTTAAATGTTCCCTCGATGGATTAATCACCGCCGAAAGCATCGCACAACCCACCCATGCACTCACTCATCCTTCATGAGATAAATATTCCTCTTTTTGATGTAATTTCCTCTTTTAATTTACTTCTTTTTTTAATTGTGTCAGCGTTATAGTGGTAAAATATTTCACAAAAAGGATCATGCATTTTCAGAAAAACCCGCTCAGCACACGACTCCAATGGTTTCATCTTAGTGCGTCGATACGCTTGGACAAGATATCCGTAATTGAAGTATACTCGCAACTTCGTCAGGTTTGGTGTGCTGGAATTCCCAAGTGGTGCAATGTATGTGCAAGCTTTTACACGTGAATATTGTTATTGAAATTTAACGAGTAAGAGACTGGTTTTAAAATTTATCATATATTTCGACCAAAAAAGGCGTAGAAAAATCAAACATACAACATTCATTTTGAAATGTTGATAATCCAAATTTCAACGTGGTTACGACGGGTTCTCATCTTACAAGCTATGCCATGTGTTCTGTGTTTATACACCGAATTTCAGACACGGGTATCAAGCTGCTGCCTTTGCTTGCACAACATCTATCCGTGAGCAAGTTACAAACTCGGCTGAACTGAAGGCATAGATCGACTATGCAGCTGAAATGTGACTGAACACAGTTACCACTAGGCTAAACAACACTCAAAACGCGGCATTGTGGGCGTCTATTAATGAAAATTAACACAAAGTTCCATTTGTCGTGAGGTCTAGAAACAGGTGCTATTGAATATGTTCACCGTTATTTTCGTTCAAGGACCCAAGGGCTATGGATCGAGTTAGGGTAACCTTCCCTAATTTTTCTTGAGATGTATCCAGGTTTGACAGTACTAATGTGTGGCGAACAGATTTTATAATAGCATCGACTAGTACTATAGTAGTAGACATTTACCTGATGAACAGAAACTAGCGCTCACCTAGATCTGTAGTTGCCTGTTTAGTTGTAACAAGTAGCACAGGCCTATAGCCTTCTCTCCATGTACAAGGATTGAGGCAATTAGTGCTGGGACGGTAACTGGGGGACTCGGGTCGGGGGACTCGTGAATAGGTCTTCAGCAACTCATGCTTGCTGTAAAAGCCGACTATGCTTGTCGTAAGAGGCGACTAACGGGATTGGGTTGTCAGGCTTGCAGACTTGGTTGATGCATGCAATCAATCCCAATAGCATGGATTGATGCTTATGATGTCAATCACTGGATTGTAGGTCCAGACTCGATTATTTACAGACCGCCGTCATATAGAGGGAATATTGCTGAGTGAGGCGTAAACAACAAACAAACAAACTCAGGTCGGGTGGGTCCTGAATAGGACCTGGGTACCCACAGTACTACCCGGACCCGTGGTTAGTCATGTGTTGTATTGTTTAATGACAAAAACTTGCTATAGCTCAGTGGTTACACTACAAGTCGCTAATGTTCACATTTCTTCCTAACCAACATCAGTGTACCCATGATCAGATCGTTTGATACATGTATCTAAACAGTTTTTGCCAGGGCTGCGGTAAAACAATTTCCAATGGGACATTTTGTTCCCACATCTTGAGACAGACCTACAGTGGGTGATAGGGTGATAGGGGGTCGGGTACCTGGGTAGTAAATTTGGACTTATCCCAGTCTTAGAGGGAATCATGCATAACCATGTCCATTACTTGTTACAGAAATAATTAGACCAGAAACATTTATAGTACCAGATGCCACATGCCATATCAATTTAGGTTGTGTGATGCTTCCTCATAATAGTATTGGGCCGGTGGGGAATTCTAGTGGTTAAGCATTCGCTCGTCACATCGAAGGCCCAGGTTGGATTCCCAACATGGGTACATTGTGTAAAGCCAGTTTCTGGTGTCCCCCACACTGACATTGTTGGCGTGTTTATAGCGACATAAAATCCAACTAATTCACTCACTAACTCATTATAGTATTGTTCATGATATATGTGGGAATATATAATTAAGACAATGTTTGTCTTCACAATTCACGAAACCAGTTTCATTTTGGCTCTCGGGTAAAATCAGTATTGCATGACTCTGCGTAAAACAACATTCACTCACTTAACTCTGGTTGTGTCTGTTTGTCAAATCTGAAGAACCTATGACAATCTGGAACTGTGTGATTTGAAATTGTTGTAGGGGTTGAAGTGACGCCATATTCAACTAAAGATGGCGGCGACGTTTTGTGAGATAGACATTGAGGACCTGGTGTTCTATGAGCGGTGTGGCGGCGGCACATTTGGCAGCGTGTATCGGGCGCTGTGGAAGTCGCAGGACATGGTCGTGGCTGTCAAGAAACTTCTCATGCTCGAGAAGGAGGTAGGACTGAAAACTTGCCTTTCAAATAAATCACACATAATTACTAGACTCAGGGTCCTGTTCCCGAAAGCGATTGTTTCGCTACGACAGTCATAACCTATGTTAAGGTATGGAGTTACGATCACTTTGTGGAACGGGACCTAGCATGCAAAGCATAGTTTATGTTTGCACATGTCAGTGTTTGGACTAAGGGGGTCCTAGGGTTTGTGCCAGTAGTATTTGCATCTTGGGACCCCCTCATTCTTCAACATTGACTGTCAGCACAATGACAAGGACCCCCAGACTTGCATGGTTACTTCATGCTTAAACACTGTGTGTTAGTCAGATTCAAGATAGTCCATGCCAAACAGGAAATACTGCAGTGAATGCCAGTCATTATTGTTCAGTGTGCATGGTTGTAATGGTAAATTGGATGTGAAATGGTTTCAGTAAGACAAGTAACCAATTCAAGATTTTACAAACCATAACCTTCCCTATTGGGAACAGTAAAAAAACTTCTGAATTTATTAACCATAATTTTCACAAGATTTTATTGTTAATATAAGACAGTTACCGGTATTAGATGAGCATAATATTTATGAGATTCAAAGATCTGTGAAGAGCCGTGTTAGAATACCGTATGTCTTCAGCAACCCATTTTTGCTGTAAAATGCGACTATGCTTGTCGTAAGAGGTGACTAACGGGATTTGGTTGTCAGGCTCGATGACTTGGCTGATGTATTTCCTCGTATCCCATTTGCTTATGTCAATGCTCGGGCTGTCAATCACCAGATTGTCTGGTCCAGACTCGATTATTTTCAGACTGCAATCATATAGCTGGGATATTGCTGAGTGCAGCGTTAAACAACAAACAACAACTAGTCTCAAGCTAGTGGCTGAAGTGACGTTTATTACATGCTGTTTGTTTTCTGTCAAACAAACTTCTAAGAAACATGACGTTGTATTCATGCTATTAACAAAGCCATGTCCTGCTATCTTGTTTCAGGCCCAGGTGTTGAGTGTTGTCAGCCATCGGAACATCATCCAGTTCTATGGTGCTGTCACTGTTGACCCCAATGTGTGCCTTGTTACTGGTAGGTTACCATGGTTACGTGAAATGCCGGCAATCTGTCATTTGTGGTATATGATGGTGGATCAGTTCAGTGTTGTAGAAGGTGTTGATGTTGCAGATTTAAATTTTCACTGCAGGTTTCAATTGGTGTTCAACTGCAGTTGCTTGAGACCCGTGAAGATGCGGGGTAGAATAGGTCATCAGCAACCCATGCTTGCCGTAAAAGTCGACTATGCTTGTCGTAAGAGGCGACTAGCGGGATCGGGTGATCAGACTCGCTGCCCTGGTTGAAGCATGTCATCGATTCAAATTGCGTGGATCGATGCTCATGATGTAAATCACTGGATTGTCTGGTCCAGACTTGATTATTTACAGATCGCCGTCATATAGCTTGAATATTGCTGAGTGCGGCGTTAAACGGTGGTGACTTTGAATCGTGTGGTTGGACTGAGTTATTGCGTGTCATTGTACCTCAAAGGTGTGGATTATTGCTCACACTGTCAAGCATTTGTTTGTCTGGTCCAGATTCATTTATTGACATTTGCAGAGCTTGAGCCAATAGCGCCTTTCTTACAATGCTAAGTTTTGTGGATAAAAATGGCTTACCGGAGAGGGAGACGCAAGCAGACGGGTATACTTCTAGTCACATAGTTTTAAATGATTTTCAGGGATTGTTACGAAACAGCTTTTAAGTAAAATACCCAAATGTCAAGAAACAGGTTGGTAAAACAAATTTTAATACCCTCTAAAACTTGTGGATACTTAATCAAAATGAAACCCCTGGGTAAAATACCCAAATAACCAAAAGCTGTCTCTAGCTCTGCATTTGTGATCAATGTGTCATCTTCTCTATGTCTTCATACTGGCAACATTTGTTTTATATTTTACTTTTGTAAAAATTTAAACTTTGACAAGTCTTTATGAATCTCCTCAAAAGCGTTAAGAAACAGAAATCTTAAACTTTGTGATACTTTGACCACAACTTGACTTGGTTTTGTTCAGGGTATAGAATAGGACAAATCTTTTGGGGGTTGATTATTGTTAAGATACGTATCCTGTGTATTTCACTGCATTCTACCCTGAGATGAAAATGTGGGTGTTTAGAGCAAGCACCAGTGCACATCATCTCCACTGTGTCGCTCTTTATCTTCTCAGAATATGCCCCCAACGGTTCTCTCTATGCCTACCTCACTAACCCTGAAAATCAGCTGGATTTTCAACAGATTCTCACCTGGGCCAAGGAAATTGCCACAGGTAAGTCACAGACTGCAGTCATGTTGGTAAAAAAGATGCAATAATTCTAAATAAAAGGTTTCTGCAAACTTGTCGTAAAAGATAATGTTTAAGTGGTGTGACCTATCCTGTGTTCCGCAATTCAGATACTGCAGTCAAATACCTATGCACTGCTCTTGTACTTCCCATGTAAACATTCTGGTGGGTGGGTCTCTCATCACTTCCTTTGTAAACGATCCGAGGGTGGGTCTCTCGCCACTTCCCATGTAAACGTTCTGTTGGTTGGGTCTCGTCACTTCCCATGTCAACGATCCAAAGGTGGGTCTCTCGCCACTTCCCATGTCAACGATCCGAGGGTTGGTCTCTCGCCACTTCCCATGTAAACATTCTGTTGGTTGGGTCTCTCGTCACTTCCTATGTAAACGATCTGAGGGTGGGTCTCTCGCCACTTCCCTTGTAAACATTCTGTTGGTTGGGTCTCTCATCACTTCCTATGTAAACGATCCGAAGGTGGGTCTCTCGCCACTTCCCATGTCAACGATCCGAGGGTTGGTCTCTCGCCACTTCCCATGTAAACATTCTGTTGGTTGGGTCTCTCGTCACTTCCTATGTAAACGATCTGAGGGTGGATCTCTCGCCACTTCCCATGTAAACATTCTGTTGGTTGGGTCTCTCATCACTTCCTATGTAAACGATCCGAAGGTGGGTCTCTCGCCACTTCCCATGTCAACGATCCGAGGGTTGGTCTCTCGCCACTTCCCATGTAAACATTCTGTTGGTTGGGTCTCTCGTCACTTCCTATGTAAACGATCTGAGGGTGGGTCTCTCGCCACTTCCCATGTAAACATTCTGTTGGTTGGGTCTCTCGCCACTTCCCATGTCAACGATCCGAGGGTTGGTCTCTCGCCACTTCCCATGTAAACGTTCTGTTGGTTGGGTCTCTCGCCACTTCCCATGTAAACGATCCGAGGGTGGGTTTCTCGCCACTTCCCATGTAAACGTTCTGTTGGTTGGGTCTCTCGTCACTTCCCATGTCAACATTCTGGTGGGTGGGTCTCTCGTCACTTCCCATGTAAATGTTCTGTTGGTTGGGTCTCTCATCACTTCCCATGTCAACATTCTGGTGGGTGGGTCTCTCGTCACTTCCCATGTCAACATTCTGGTGGGTGGGTCTCTCGCCACTTCCCATGTAAATGTTCTGTTGGTTGGGTCTCTCGTCACTTCCCATGTCAACATTCTGGTGGGTGGGTCTCTCGTCACTTCCTATGTAAATGTTCTGATGGGTGGGGCTCTCGTCACTTCCCATGTAAACGTTCTGTTGGTTGGGTCTCTCGTCACTTCCCATGTAAACGTTCTGTTGGTTGGGTCTCTCGCCACTTCCCATGTCAACATTCTGGTGGGTGGGTCTCTCGTCACTTCCCATGTCAACATTCTGGTGGGTGGGTCTCTCGTCACTTCCTATGTAAATGTTCTGATGGGTGGGGCTCTCGTCACTTCCCATGTAAACGTTCTGTTGGTTGGGTCTCTCGTCACTTCCCATGTCAACATTCTGGTGGGTGGGTCTCTCGTCACTTCCTATGTAAATGTTCTGATGGGTGGGGCTCTCGTCACTTCCCATGAAAACGTCCGGTAGGGTAGCGATCTCATTACTTGCCGTGTAAATGTTGTGATGGATGGGGCTCTGTGTCACTTCCCGTGTTAACGTTCTGATGGGTGGGGGGTCTCGTCACTTCCTGCATTTTTAAAATGCTAATCCAGATTAGGTAGCATTAGTTACCATGGTTACATAATATTTCGGTCTTTAGTCCCACAGTTTCATTCCAAATTCCTACAGAAAGATTCATATGGTGTTAAATTAACTTTCTGAATTTGAGACTGTAAATGCCATTGTCCATACATGTCTTCAGAACAAAGATAAGTAAAGCAATGAATTCTATACCTTCTTATCCCCCTGCAGATAATGCATGGATATAGTCATCATCTGGTCTATCTGTCCGTCGTCCATATTTCATTTCTGGAGCAAAAATTGAGAGCCATGAAAGATCTTTCATCCAAGTTTGGTACATGTATAAACCTTGACCTGAAGTGTCTTTTGCTATTGTTGGGGCTGATGACTCTGATGGTCAGAGGAAAGGTCATTGACATGACCAACAATAAGATGTCCTCTGATCTAAGATGGGGGCACAGGTGGGCCAGTCATCTAAGGCGCCGCATATCGCTGTGCAGAGTTGCGTCCCTTGTTCATGCCAGAAACCTATGATTGTGGGTTCATATCCCGGTTTGCCCCGATTATGTTTTTAGATTTGTCAGCACCATACCCGTGCTTGTGGGTTTCACCGAAGTGGTAAACGTCTAAGACCTGCAGGGGCGGTTGGGTAGCCTAGTGGTCAAAGTGTGTGCTCGTCACGCCGAAGACCCGGGTTCGATTCCCGCCATGGGTACAATGTGTGAAGCTCATTTCTGGTGTCCCCCGCCGTGATATTGCTGGAATATTGCTAAAAGCGGCGTAAAACCAAACTCACTCACTCACTCACTGAGACCTGCATCACTTGGGGCTTTCCTCCAACATTAAGCTGACATGCCGTGATATAACTGGAATACTGTTGAAAGCGGTGTGAAAACCAACTGACTCTCTCAGATCTAAGATATGATTTTGATGAGATTGCCTTGTTCTGATATGTCATGGTAGTGTGGGAGTTATCTGCGTGCGTTGCCTGCCTACATCCCGCAGTGTGTTTCAGGGATGCACTACCTACACTGTGAAGCTCCCGTCAAAGTCATACATCGAGACCTCAAGTCCAAGAATGGTACGTCATTATTTTGAAATATCCATGAGAATAAGTTAACATGAAAGACAAACTGTCAGACAGTTGATCATCTCCATTTGGACACAATCAATATGAACAAAACTACAGATTTACAAGAGGCGACTAAAGGGATCAGGTCGTCAGGCTCGCTGACTTGGTTGATGCATGCCATTGTATCCCAATTATGTGGAACGATGCTCATGGTATCAATCACTAGATTGTCCGGTCCAGACTCGATTATTTACAGACCGCCGTCGTCATGACAGGAAGAACACAGAAATAGTCCCACTGTATAAACTAGGTAAATGTTTCACTGCATAACTGATGTTCAGGACCAACACTACCACAACAAAGACTGCCTTTTGTTTTTTACCTGGAATTACCTTTATTGTGTTACTGATTGTTTTAATATGATAGTGAGGCTGTTTTGATATGATAGTGAGGCTGTTTTAATGTGATAGTGAGGCTGTTTTAATATGATAGTGAGGCTGTTTTAATGTGATAGGATTTACTCAAAGTATTGACATTTTCTGCCTGATGTCAGACTTTACCTGCATTATGTACATGTGAACATATTCTCACATTAATGTACTTCTCTACATTTAGTAGGGATATTCGGAATGTCTGGATAAATCCAACTGGCTGGTTGGATAGGTTTTCATTTGAATAGGATTTGACGTATAAGTTAATTTCCAGTAATAATAAGGGGCGATGGGGTAGCCTAGTGGTTAAAGCATTCGCCAGTCATATTGAAGGCCTGGGTTTGATTCCTCACATGGATACAAAGTGTGAAGCCCACTTCTGGTGTCCCCTGTCGTGATACTGCTGGAATATTGCTAAAAGCGGCGTAAATCCACACACACACTCACTCACTCACTCACTCACTCACTCACTCACTCACTCACTCACTCACTCACTCACTCACTCACTCACTCACTCACTCACTCACTCACTCACTCACTCACTCACTCGCTCGCTCGCTCGCTCAAGTAATAATAAACAAAAGTAAACATTGGATTAACATGGAAAGTTTTAGAACAAATTTTAGATTTCCGCAATATCGCAAATTCATTGCTAATTAAAACAGCTTGTGTTTGTGTTGAGACACTGAATGAGAAGATGTTAGTCATTGTTGTATGCCTCGTCGCTATATGGCTGAAATAATGCCAAAGAGACGTTAAATTTGAACTCACTCACTCATTGTTGCATGCAAGCTTCTCTTCTTTCCCAAAACGACAAAATGAGTTCTAAATTCCCTCAAATGCGTTAGTCTGAACAATACTACTCAACCCGTGATAGGGATACTGTGCTAGCTGACACTAGCCAGGAGACAACAGCGTGTATATTGTTTTCTTTTGTGTATTATGAAATGAAACTTAAGATGCGTCAGGTCCACTCCAAATCACATCCTATTCGTATGACAGCATCTCTGTACATCCAGTCAGATGTGCCCCCACCTGGACACTGAGACTATCCCTATCACATGTTGAGTAGTATACAACACACACGTTGGCTGTCTGTGTGTCACACTCATATCTGTGTTCATATTTCAGTGGTCATATCAGATGACTGGTCATGTAAGGTAAGTTTTATTCAATATGAACAAGAGACTCTGCCTGACTTGTAAACAGTGCGTAACACCTATTCTGGCCCAGAACCCCTGTAGAATCAGAGTTAGCAGCGGTAGAAAGTAACATTTTTGGTCCACTAGTCCTTATAATGATAACATATAGCAAAACCTCCAAAAATGGCAAATTTCTACTTGTCCTTATGATACCTTAACTATTGGGCAGTTGGCAAGGACCACAGGACGGTCCAGACTCGATTATTTACAGACCGCTGTAATTCATAGCTGGAATATTGCTGAATGTGGCGTTAAACAACAAACAAAACAAACAAAAAGACTACAGAACTAGAGCCAATTTCTAACACTGGTTAGAATGGGTCCCCAGCCACCTAACTGTTCGGACAGATGACTAAGTGGATCATGTGGATTTGATTCAGTGTTAAAAACTGAACAGTTTTAGTCCACTAGGCCCTATAATGTTATCATATAGCCAAACCCTGAAAAGGGGCAATGTTCTACTTGTCATTATGATACCTTCACTATTGGGCGACTAACGGAATCCGGTGGTCAGGCTCGCCGACTTGGTTGATGCATGTCATCGTATCCCAATTGCGTGGATCGATGCTCATGTTATCAATCACTGGATTGTCAGGTCCAGACTCAATTATTCACAGACCGCAGTCATATAGCTGGATTATTGCTGAGTCCGGTGTTAAACAACGAAGAAACAAACAAACAAACAATCAAACAAAGTGTTGGGCAGTTTGGCAAGGACTCTTGGACTAGTGCCAGTTTAGAAGGCTGTGATTATGTGCCAGGGTACCCTGATGGCATGGGACATCATTTTATATGAATCGAGGGTTTGCAGGGATTTATCTAGGTCAGCCCAGAGGCCGATATTCACCCCAAGTGTTAGTAAAATTTCTAAATTGGAATTAATATCCTTTCAACTTGTGTTAATAGAGTTCTAACTGATGTCCTGGCTTTTGAGAGACTTGTGTTTCACTGATAATGTGGACAATACATGATAAAGAGGAAGAGAAGTTGTAGAATATTGCATTGAATGCAATGCTGAGAATCCATTGGTAAAGTACCTCTGAATTTAAGAAAAAAACAACTTAAGAAAATATTGATTTTTTTCCCATCTTGCCTGCCAAGGGCACATATTTTAGAGCCTATGTTAATCTCTTGTTTGTCAGGTCCCGACTTATTTACCAGTCGCCACAACATTGCTGATATTTTGTTGGCTGCAGCAATGTAATAATCCACATTCCATCCAGAGGCTGGTGAAAGTTCATCAGGACTTGAAAATGCTGTTGTAATGTTCAGACCGCCTCCGTGGTCTAGTGGTAGAGCGTCAGCCTGGAGAGCGGAAGGTCCGGGGATCGATCCCCAGCCGCGTCATACCAAAAGACGTTAAAAGATGGTTCTTGTTGTTACCTTGTCTGGCGCTAGGCATTAAGGGGCTAAAGCAAGGACTGGTCGGCTCGGAGTCAGTATACTGTGTCTGAGTGGGGTATTCATGTTAAACTGCGGCATGGTATCTCAGTGAGCTAACACTTTAAATCAGCATCAGTCCGGACTAGTACAAGCAGCCATTCACCCACACACACACACACACATGCAAGCACATCACTCTATAAGTGCAATATACTTGACACAATTTTACCTCGTAGGTCTTGATTTAAGGAATTTGATTTACCTTGCACCAAGTGCATATTGACATGAAAACCAACTTGCATCATACAAAACCAGGTTTCACCTGTGTCCCCCAAATACCAAAGTTGACACATAGGCCGGCCTGCAGACAGTGTGAAAATAATGAATGGTGCTTTGATGTAAAACATAACAGGAGTGTCAGCCTACCCACAGTTTGATGACATCAAGCCTTAGAAAGCATGACAAATAACATATAATACAGGGATTGATGTGGTATGGTAAATAAACTTTAGAGGTATTGAGTGTGTTCAAATGTAAATGTTGTGTGGACAAGTAAGGGTCAGTCAGACACAAATTTGAAATGTTTTGACATACACTTGGTGCATGTGGACATAAATATTAGCTTGCATTTTTCAATAAAAGGTCCCACTGGTGCATGTTTTACTATTTGGTAGTTTTTCATAAACACATGCTCATGATATAGCCGGAATCGTACAATAGATTCTGCTTTATGCAGAGATTTCTTATGAATATGGAAAGGGTGTCCTCTTAATTATATTGCTGGGGCGGTCGGGTAGCCTAGTGGTTAAAGCGTTCGCTCGTCACGCCGTAGACCCGGGTTCAATTCCCGACATGGGTACAATGTGTGAAGCCCATTTCTGGTGTCCCCGCCGTGATATTGCTGGTATACAGCTAAAAGCGGCGTAAAACCATACTCACTAACTCACTCATTAATTATATTGCTAATTCGAGCCCTTGCTTATGTATGCTATTAGTGTTTTATTCTTCAACAATGTAGCACTTCTTATCAAGTATATTTGTAGGTTGGGATACTGCTTCCACAGTGACAACACTTCAAAAGTTATACACAAATATTCAAAGCAGAATGCAAATGTGTTTGGTGTTGGAAGCTATCCATCACTATGTCAGTAGCTGAAGTGTTTCTGTTTTTCAGCTGTGTGATTTTGGTGCATCCAAGTTCATTGGCAGTACAACCAGGATGTCACTGGCGGGGACGTTCCCGTGGATGGCGCCGGAGGTGAGGTAGTCCCGGACGAGGGAGATATCAGGGCTGTCTTAGGGAATAAGGGGTGGTGGGGTAGCCTAGTGGATAAAGGATTTGCTTGTCACGCCAAAGGCCCAGGTTTGATTCCCAACATGGATACAATGTACATTTCTTGTGTCCCCTCCTCGCGTGCTGTCACTGATATAGAGAATCTCACCCGAGTGTCTTTTGATATCAAATATATCAACACGAGTTGATTAAAGTGGAAAAACTCTGAGGCTTGATATTGATATCAAAAGACACTCGGGTGTGATTTTATTTATCATATAACATCATTCTTCCAACTTTATCAGTTTGTAATTAGCAGTGTCTTAAGTGTAAAAAGTACTGCTAACAGCTTCAGGTAGTAGAGCCATTAGTGATGTCATTTAATTGTGATGTCATGGTAACCAATGAGGTCACAATGGTCTGCAAAGCAAATTTGATCTCACCCAAGTGATATCTCCTGTGGGAGCCAGTTTGGGATGATAAATGTTGTTAAAAGCGATGTAAGATCCAACTCCCTCACTCACAGGGAATAAGCATGTTTAGTGTGTAGCTGCATGGTGCTGACTTGAATGTGAATGTTATGTTCAGTGTTTGTAGGCCATTGGCCCATGTACATATCAGTACAAATATACGTGATATAATATGATAGACACAATTAACGATTAACCGATACATACGATATCAATACTTACATACACGATATTTGAATGGTCAGTTTGTGAAATTGCGATATGCTATAAATAGAACAGGAAGTTATAGAGTTACCTCCCACAATGGCAGAAGTAGCACAGCGCCACCTGTAAGCATGGCAGAACACAAGGATGTGGTAGCAGAGGATGTGCCGACTAACTGTTACATTCAATAACCATCCCTTCATTTAAACTCTTTGTTCTTGTGGTTCTCTTTGTAAAGTTTTTAAAATAACAATAAATAAATGTATGAAGAAAGAGGTTTTAGAGCTGCATATCAGTGATGTCATCATTTCTTACTCTTTGATGTGGTGTATCGTGATACCAGTAGTATCATCAGTCTGTATCGTGATACCAGCAGTATCATCACTCTGTATCGTGATACCAGCAGTATCATCGGTCTGTATCATGATACCAGCAGTATCATCACTCTGTATCGTGATACCAGCAGTATCATCGGTCTGTATCGTGATACCAGCAGTATCATCACTCTGTATCGTGATACCAGTAGTATCATCAGTCTGTATCATGATACCAGCAGTATCATCACTCTGTATCGTGATACCAGCAGTATCATCACTCTGTATCGTGATACCAGTAGTATCGTCTGTCTGTATCGTGATACCAGTAGTATCGTCAGTCTGTATCGTGATACCAGTAGTATCATCAGTTTGTATCGTGATACCAGCAGTATCATCAGTCTGAATCGTGATTCCAGCAGTATCACAGGTCTGTATCGTGATACCAGCAGTATCACCGGTCTGTATCGTGATACCAGCAGTATCATCGGTCTGTATCGTGATACCAGCAGTATCACCGGTCTGTATCGTGATACCAGCAGTATCATCGGTCCGTATCATGATACGAATCGTATCACAAGATACCAGGCGATACTCAGCTCTAGAGACAATTGTATAATATGAACAGTGCAGACAATCGTTTCAGGCAAATTACATATTTTTGTACTTAAGACCTTTCTCACATATTTAGCACATTTTAGTATCTTTATTATTACAGTTTAACAATTGAGTACATTTGATAATATTTGATATATAAATGGAACTTGGTTTATACTTATATCTTAATGTATATGTTCATGTTGTAACGGAAAATTAAGTTCATCTCAATAGATCAATCACTGGCTTGTCTGGTCCAGATTCACCTTTTTACACACCGTCATCACTTTAGGGCTGGCTATCAATATAGATCTTAGAGACTGATAGTCATTAACTAGATATCGATCAATTACTGATAAATATCAGGAAAGTTACTTTCAGCAAATATACAAAAAGCTCAGAGACAAAACATCATATTTCACGTCACTGGTGAGTGGTGACACATTTATGCATGGATTACTTTGTGGACATTTGAGATATAACAAAATCAGTTGCTTTCCATCTAAGGCAATAGACAAAAGCAAGTCTGCTTTGGTAACTTAAAACCTTATTCCATGACAATAGTTTATGTAAGATATTATTGATGACACAATTTTCATTTCATTTATTGTTATTATTTTCCCTATCTTTGTGGTCATCCTAATGTCTTATAACTGCTATGTTGCCATTACAGCATAAATAGCATGAACAAACAAACAAACATGAAGGAAGTTGTTTCTGTTTACTCCAGGTGATTCAAAGTCAGCCTGTGTCGGAGTCCTGTGATACCTGGTCCTACGGTGTGGTAAGTCAGAATAGTTCAGAACAATAAGACCCGTGAAAATCCGGGGTAGAATAGGTTTTCAGCAACCCATGCTTGCCGTAAAAGGCGACTATGCTTGTCATAAGAGGCAACTAACGGGATCGGGTGGTCAGGCTTGCTGTCTTGGTTGATGCATGTCATCGTATTGGATTGATGCTCATGATGTCAATCATTATAATGTCTGGTCCGGACTCGATTATTTACAAACCGCCGTCATATAGCTGGAATATTGCTGAGTGCGGCGTTAAACAACAAACAAGAACATCAGAACAATAAACAAGCAAGAACTCCAAAGTGAGGCTAGGAGTGATGAACAGCATTCACTTATATCTATATTTAGCAGAGGGCCGAGGTGACTTGGTTGACTGTAGGACATTTTATCCCAAAGCATCGGCGTTGCTTAGAATATCGATTTTTGGTTTGTCGGGTTCAGACTCGTGGCCCTGTCGTCTAAGGCGCCACAATTTGCTGTGCAGAGTTGCGTCACTTTGGCACACCAGAAACCTATGATTGTGGGTTCGAATCAGGTTTGCCCCGATTATGTTTCTAGGTTTGTCAGCACAATACCCCTTCTCATGGGTTTCACCGAAGTGGTAAACGCCTGAGACCTGCATGACTTGGGGCTTTCCTCCCACATTAAACTGACACGCCGTGATATAACTGAAATACTGTTAAAAGCGGCGTTAAACCTAACTCACTCACTCACTCACTCACTCAGACTCGTACTTACAGCTGCTGTCATGAAGATGGGTGTGGCACTAAGCAGCAAAGAAATAAAGAAACAAACTCGCATGAAAGTTTCTTACCTTCCTAAAAGTAAATTTTCTCTAAGTGCTGAAAGTGTAGCGTCATTATCAGCCTCCTGATGTCCTCATGTGTTTCTGTGTTGATTAAGTGCCATGGTTCTGAGTTCTTCAAATAATGGATGATGTAGTTTGTGGGTGTCCTTCTACAGTTGGTGTTTCTACAGGTGCTGTGGGAGCTACTGACTCACGAAGTGCCGTTTAAAGGAATCGAGGGCTTCCAGGTGGCATGGCTGGTGGTGGAGAAAGGGGAGGTAACTCTATAGTCAACTCTAAACAGCAGGGTCACGGACCTAAAAATATTAATGATTTATTATCATGTTTCTGTGCATCCTTGATTATGTGGTGTATTAGTATTATATCTCCATTCTATTGTTATAAGTAACTTGGACCCATTTCAGCAATTCATGCTTGCCGTAAAAGCCGACTATGCTTGTCGTGAGAGGCAACTAACGGGATCGGGTGGTCAGGATCGCTGACTTGGTTGATGCATGTCATCAATTCCAATTGTGTGGATCGATACTCATGATGTCAATCACTGGATTATCTGGTCCAGAGTCGATTATTTACAGACCGCCATCATATAGCTTAGATATTGCTGAGTGCGGCATTAAACAACGAACCAACCAACCAACCAATAATCCTTTAACATAGCTTCATTTTGAACTTGATTCAAATGGCATGATGTTAACAGTAGCCATCCAATGAAATTACTGTCGTAAGCGAGAGACATTCCGTGCTAAGATAGAGATAGGGGGATGTGACAACACATTGAACGAGGACCTGTGTTTGATACAGTATGTAAGGCCCATTCCTTTTGGTCTTTGATTGACATTATTGTTTTCTAAATCTCTACTCCCATTCCAGAGATTGTTGGTGCCAAGTACTTGTCCGTCCTGTTTTGGGCAGCTGATGAAAGATTGCTGGGAACTTGATCCAAAGAAGCGACCAACTTTTAAGCAGATTCTTGCCCGTCTCGATGCCATGCTGCAGGATGGTAAGGGGGACATGGTCTTTGATAATGCGTTCAAATAATGGAGTTGTCCCCCTTAGATGGCAGGATCTGGTGGTTGTGGTGATGCTGGTGTGTTTTCGTAGGTGTTGTAATTGTCTACGTCACATTGGTCCCCCCTCCCACTGTCTCTTCCCCTGAAATACAGTTGAGCATGCCTGGTACATCTACAAAAGCATTTACAGTGCTCCAGACACATGCTCCAGACACACACTCACACACGTCACTCTATGAGTGCAATATTCTTGAACGTGACGTTAAACCCCATTTCACCTCACCTCAGCTTTATGTTTGTTGTAATGAAATCCTTTCTTTTTGTCTTTAGAAAGTTTACCAGATCAAACCAACTCTTTCCTTGAACATAAAGAAATATGGAGGTGAGTACAACCCACTCAATATGAGCTAGTGTTCCCTCGTTATTGCACTCTTCAATATAGCGCTAACTTGGTTATAGCGCGGTAAAGCATGGCTCCCAAAATTTACTAACATTTTTAATGAACTCAAGTTTTCAAATGACACAATGTTTTCCCCCACCTCAGAAAACATTATCAGCTGATCACCGCGATCACTTAACACCGGAAATACCAGTCAACACATCCGAACTGAAGTACGCAATTTAATCCTATTATTATAATATCTGGTAATAAAAAAATTGTTCATTGTTTATCTGAACTGGGTGTTTGCAATATATTTTATTAATTATATTAAAAATTTCATTCATTAATTATAATAATGTTTACAATAATTTCGGCAAAATCGTATGCGAAGTGATCGGTAGATTGCACAACTCACCGTTATTTACAGCAGCCAGGGTCAGATTACCGCTATTGACGCCTTGAAACGGACTTTAGTTGCAAGAGAATGGATACACATACAGTGATCCCTCGATATACCGCTGTCATCGGGGTCCAAGAAACTGACCCCGCGGTGTAGGAAAGAGCGGTGTACAGATATTCCTTGCTGAGGTTCACATTACATAATGATGGTAGTGAATGGAACAGTGGCGCAATTATTTCACAGTGGCATGGGACATGTAGATCTATGTAACACTGATCGTGGACGATGATTCAAACTGCATGCGTAAAAAAATAAAAATACTTTGTGTAAATTAATCAAAGTAGTCTGTATTATTTTACGACTGGATGTTATACATGTAGAATCTAAATAAATGTTATATTTCAAGTTTTTCGGGAGAAAATTGGCCTGATTGCCGACCTACTCACATTATCGATCGATGACAGTACATTACAAAGCCAAACCAGCCTTGTAACGAAACTAATGTGCAACCAAGGCTGTGATTGGTTAATAAATAATGACGTGTCAAAGTTATGAAAAACCCGGACACAGCCGGCTCTCTGTATGCACTTTATGTACAATGTACATTGACATGACGTGCTTAACTACACGGTCATTTGAGTGATTTATAAAAATCAAACACAAACGTAGATTTGAGTGGATAAGAGATATATTTAGTTCTGTTAATAATGATAATTATTCAAAGGGAAAATCGTCAGGGCCATGAATATCTTGGGACAGTTTGACTAATGAACTAAGATTTATTTTATACCCTTCGTAATTACGCTATTTAAACAATGAAGTTCCAATGTTTTTTATAGGTCTCTCACGGTTACTCAAGTCCAGATTAAATACCGGAAGCCATTGTTTCGATTGTTGTTATTGCATTACACGCGGCCGGTTTGAAGTTCACATGTTGTCTTACCAATCACAACAAGCTGAGATGAGTATTAAATGAAACAATGCGGCTTATGTTTGTTGTTGCTGTGATTTTATTTTTTGTGAGTTTAATGCCAGATCTGTGTACGATATGTTTTTTCACAACCGGAACAAAAGGCAGAATGGTTTCGATCACATTCAGCCGGATACAATGAACGTAATTGTTTTACAAATACACACACGTGTACATCGACTTGGAATTTAATTTCATCAGTTTATTTGTAACTTTATTTGCTTAAACGCGCGTTAACGCGATTTAACGCGCTTTTAGGGGAAAATTCTTCATGCATTTTTGGGAGCCATGGTTTACCCCGCGGTGCATCCGGAGTAGCGGTACATCGAGGAGCGTTAAGTCGAGGGACCACTGTATCATAAATGTCGTACCATGACTCGCTATAAGTCATATTTGAGGCAGTTTGACAATTAAGTGTCAACATAACATTTTCGCAATCAAAATACATGTAGCGCGGGAAGTCCCTACGGTGACTGGTCAAATTCATTCCATACGTTAAAAAATATCCTGCATACCATCTGTACCAAAGTACCTGCCCTTGTATAAGCCTGTGTCAAATGTCTGTACCTGCCCTTGTATAAGTCCTTGTCACATGTCTATACCCGCCCTTGTATAAGCCTGTGTCATGTGTCTGTACCTGCCCTTGTATAAGCTCGTGTCATGTGTCTGTACCTGCCCTTGTATAAGCCTGTGTCACTTGTCTGTACCTGCCCTTTTATAAGCCTGTGTCACATGTCTATACCTGCCCTTGTATAAGCCTGTGTCACATGTCTATACCCGCCCTTGTATAAGCCCATGTCACGTGTCTCTACCTGCCCTTGTATGAGCCTGTGTCACATGTCTATACCTGCCCTTGTATAAGCCTGTGTCACATGTCTGTACCTGCCCTTGTATAAGCCCATGTCACGTGTCTCTACCTGCCCTTGTATAAGCCTGTGTCACATGTCTATACCTGCCCTTGTATAAGCTCGTGTTACGTGTCTGTACCTGCCCTTGTATAAGCCTGTGTCTGTACCTGCCCTTGTATAAGCCTGTGTCACTTGTCTGTACCTGCCCTTGTATAAGCCTTGTCACGTGTCTGTACCCGCCCTTGTATAAGCCTTGTCACTTGTCTGTACCTGCCCTTGTATAAGCCTTTGTCACATGTCTATACCTGCCCTTGTATAAGCTCGTGTTACGTGTCTGTACCTGCCCTTGTATAAGCCTGTGTCATGTGTCTGTACCTGCCCTTGTATAAGCCCATGTCGTATGTCTGTACCTGCCCTTGTATAAGCCCGTGTCACGTGTCTGTACCTGCCCTTGTATAAGCCTGTGTCATGTGTCTATACCCGCCCTTGTATAAGCCCGTGTCACGTGTCTGTACCTGCCCTTGTATAAGCCCATGTCACGTGTCTATACCCGCCCTTGTATAAGCCCATGTCACATGTCTGTACCTGCCCTTGTTTAAGCCCTTGTCACGTGTCTGTACCCGCCCTTGTATAAGCCCTTGTCACGTGTCTGCTGTTGCAGGAAGGAGATACAGACGACCCTGGAGCGTCTGAAGCGAGCTGAGATGGAGCTAGGGGTTAAGGAGCGTCAGCTGAAGGAACGCGAACTGAAAATCAAGGAACGAGAGAAGAACCTGGAACAGCAATTTAAAGTTGTTGTAAGCAAACCCTCAGTTGTCAGTGTAGGCAGTCCCCCCATCACATTCACAGAATGGACCCGTGAAGATCTTCACAATAGGTCTCCAGCAACCCATGCTTGCTGTTAAAGGTGTCTCTGCTTGTCGTAAGTGGCGACTAACGGGATTGGGTGGTCAGGCTTGCTGACTTGGTTGATGCATGTCATCATATCCCAATTGCGTGGGTCGAGGCTCATGATGTCAATCACTGGATTGTCTGGTCCAGACTCGATTATTTACAGACCGCCATCATATAGCTGGAATATTGCTGAGTGCGGCGTAACACAACAAACCAACCAACATTCACACTGTGGCATACTGAATTGGCCCTTGGACCATCCCGGTCCTGAAGTTTGTCCCACTTCAGAGAATTGAGGTGTAACGATGCGATGGGGTCGCGATACAATACATATCCACATACTAATGGTGGGAAGCGATTCGTATTCCATACGGCACTTTTATATCATAAGTTGATTTTCTTTCCTTTCACAGTTCAACCACAACCCTGAATGATTTGTTTTAAAATTTAAGAGAATGAGATGGGATATTGTAGGATAGAAACGTATAGAGGGCACTGTGAATGTTATGCCATTGATATCCACACGGGAAATACTAGAATGTAATGTAATGTATCGTAGATATCGTCATACAGGGGTTGTAAATCGATGTATTGTGTCATGGGCCTCATATCGCAATACAATACTGTATTGATGGATCGTTAAAGCACCAGTACATGGTTCCGGGCAGAATAGGTCCCTAGTACCTCAAGCTTCTCTCCCTGTGGTGTGTTTCTGAGCAGAATAGGTACCCAGTACCCCAAGCTTCTCTCCCTGTGGTGTGTTTCTGAGCAGAATAGGTCCCTAGTACCCCAAGCTTCTCTCCCTGTGGTGTTTCTGGGCAGAATAGGTCCCTAGTTGCCCTAGCTTCTCTCCCTGTGGTGTTTCTGGGCAGAATAGGTCCCTAGTACCTCAAGCTTCTCTCCCCGTGGTGTTTCTGGGCAGAATAGGTCCCTAGTACCTCGAGCTTCTCTCCCCGTGGTGTTTCTGGGCAGAATAGGTCCCTAGTACCTAGAGCTTCTCTCCCCGTGGTGTTTCTGGGCAGAATAGGTCCCTAGTACCTCGAGCTTCTCTCCCTGTGGTGTTTCTGAGCAGAATAGGTCCCTAGTACCTCGAGCTTCTCTCCCCGTGGTGTTTCTGAGCAGAATAGGTCCCTAGTACCTCGAGCTTCTCTCCCTGTGGTGTTTCTGGGCAGAATAGGTTCCTAGTACCTCAAGCTTCTCACCCTGTGGTGTTTCTGGGCAGAATAGGTACCCAGTACCCCAAGCTTCTCTCCCTGTGGTGTGTTTCTGGGCAGAATAGGTCCCTAGTACCCCAAGCTTCTCTCCCTGTGGTGTTTCTGGACAGAATAGGTACCTAGTACCCCAAGCTTCTCTCCCTGTGGTGTTTCTGAGCAGAATAGGTCCCTAGTACCTCAAGCTTCTCTCCCTGTGGTGTTTCTGGGCAGAATAGGTCCCTAGTACCTCAAGCTTCTCTCCCTGTGGTGTTTCTGGGCAGAATAGGTCCCTAGTACCTCAAGCTTCTCTCCCTGTGGTGTTTCTGGGCAGAATAGGTCCCTAGTACCTCGAGCTTCTCTCCCTGTGGTGTTTCTGAGCAGAATAGGTCCCTAGTACCCCAAGCTTCTCTCCCTGTGGTGTTTCTGGGCAGAATAGGTCCCTAGTACCTCAAGCTTCTCTCCCTGTGGTGTTTCTGAGCAGAATAGGTCCCTAGTACCTCAAGCTTCTCTCCCTGTGGTGTTTCTGGGCAGAATAGGTCCCTAGTACCTCAAGCTTCTCTCCCCGTGGTGTTTCTGGGCAGAATAGGTCCATAGTACCCCAAGCTTCTCTCCCTGTGGTGTTTCTGGGCAGAATAGGTCCCTAGTACCTCGAGCTTCTCTCCCTGTGGTGTTTCTGGGCAGAATAGGTCCCTAGTACCCCAAGCTTCTCTCCCTGTGGTGTTTCTGAGCAGAATAGGTCCCTAGTACCTCAAGCTTCTCTCCCTGTGGTGTGTTTCTGAGCAGAATAGGTCCCTAGTACCCCAAGCTTCTCTCCCTGTGGTGTTTCTGAGCAGAATAGGTCCCTAGTACCCCAAGCTTCTCTCCCTGTGGTGTGTTTCTGAGCAGAATAGGTCCCTAGTACCTCAAGCTTCTCTCCCTGTGGTGTTTCTGAGCAGAATAGGTCCCTAGTACCTCAAGCTTCTCTCCCTGTGGTGTTTCTGGGCAGAATAGGTCCCTAGTACCCCAAGCTTCTCTCCCTGTGGTGTTTCTGGGCAGAATAGGTCCCTAGTACCTCAAGCTTCTCTCCCTGTGGTGTTTCTGGGCAGAATAGGTCCCTAGTACCTCAAGCTTCTCTCCCTGTGGTGTTTCTGGGCAGAATAGGTCCCTAGTACCCCAAGCTTCTCTCCCTGTGGTGTGTTTCTGGGCAGAATAGGTCCCTAGTACCCCAAGCTTCTCTCCCTGTGGTGTTTCTGAGCAGAATAGGTCCCTAGTACCCCAAGCTTCTCTCCCTGTGGTGTTTCTGAGCAGAATAGGTCCCTAGTACCCCAAGCTTCTCTCCCTGTGGTGTTTCTGAGCAGAATAGGTTCCTAGTACCTCAAGCTTCTCTCCCTGTGGTGTTTCTGGGCAGAATAGGTTCCTAGTACCTCGAGCTTCTCTCCCTGTGGTGTTTCTGGGCAGAATAGGTCCCTAATACCCCAAGCTTCTCTCCCTGTGGTGTTTCTGGGCAGAATAGGTCCCTAATACCCCAAGCTTCTCTCCCTGTGGTGTTTCTGGGCAGAATAGGTTCCTAGTACCTCGAGCTTCTCTCCCTGTGGTGTTTCTGGGCAGAATAGGTCCCTAATACCCCAAGCTTCTCTCCCTGTGGTGTTTCTGGGCAGAATAGGTCCCTAGTACCTCAAGCTTCTCTCCCTGTGGTGTTTCTGGGCAGAATAGGTCCCTAGTACCCCAAGCTTCTCTCCCCGTGGTGTTTCTGGACAGAATAGGTACCTAGTACCCCAAGCTTCTCTCCCTGTGGTGTTTCTGGGCAAAATAGGTCCCTAGTACCCCAAGCTTCTCTCCCTGTGGTGTTTCTGGGCAGAATAGGTCCCTAGTACCTCAAGCTTCTCTCCCTGTGGTGTGTTTCTGGGCAGAATAGGTCCCTAGTACCCCAAGCTTCTCTCCCTGTGGTGTTTCTGAGCAGAATAGGTCCCTAGTACCTCAAGCTTCTCTCCCTGTGGTGTTTCTGGGCAGAATAGGTACCCAGTACCCCAAGCTTCTCTCCCTGTGGTGTTTCTGGGCAAAATAGGTCCCTAGTACCCCAAGCTTCTCTCCCTGTGGTGTTTCTGGGCAGAAGTGGCTCCTGGTTCATGATGCTTTCTGTAAGATCCGACAAGAATTCAATGTTTGACCACTCTACTAACTCACGCACACAGACACAGACACTCACTCACAGTTTGTAACATCTGTATTTATGTGACTCGATAACCAATATATGTCTTCCTCTTCCAGCAACTTGACACACATGATGTAAACACATGGCGTGAAGTAGATGTGGTAAGTTTCCCAAGTTGATCACCACAACATCCATCCTTCTAGCTCTCTGTTTGTCCTTGTGACAAACGTTTGTTAGCAGGAGCAATCAGAGCTTCATGTTAAATATGATGGGAGCAAGTTTGAAAAACATATATTGTATTTAGAATTTTGATTTTTGCTGAGTTTTGATTTGGTTTGAAATTAAATTTGTGATGTTTTATTACGAATTGAAATACAGCTTTCATTTCTTGCCATGGTATGCTGTTGTTTTAACTGAAAATAATATACTATTCCAAAGAAGTTAAGGAACACCAACAATTCGAGGGCATGTGAAACCATCGGGTGTTCTTTAACTTCTTTTGAGTAGTATATTTGATGCTTGTTATTGTGACTGTGAACTACACACCTTCTTGGCAATGGTAGCGATGGTGCCCAGTGATCTAAGGTGCTACTTTCCCTGAAGAGTTGTTCCCCTTTATCTCTAAAACTCTCCTACTTTTTCTGTTTCAGTATCAGTGGGTGATGCAGCTGGGAGCTTCTGGTACGTTGACATGTTTGTCTTCTCTATGTCTAGGTTACTGGGGGTGCCGGGGGCACATGTAGGGATGGTTTTAGGGGCAGCTGGGAGCGTCTAGTACGTTGACATGTTTGTCTTCTCTGTGTCCAGGTTACTGGGGGTGCAGGGGGCACCTGTAGGGATGGTTTTAGGGGCATGATTCACCTTGTAGTTAAGCAACGCACCATAACAAGCTTTTTGGTGTTGGCAAATTGTGGAGGTGACACCGTATAAGTGAAATAATTCCCAACAGTGTTAAACTCACACACTCACTTCCTGTGTATGTTCAAAAAGGAAGATAAAATAAATAAACAGATAAAATAAATAAACAGAAATGAGAAAGTTTAGTAGATTATAATACTACTTGTGGAGACTTAAAGCATGTGAATGAAGATGACGTTTTGTCCTAATAAAAACCTTGGCTAATTTAGGAAATGAAGTGCAGTGGATCTCTGTTGTCTTGAACTCCAGGACACCAGAGAAACAGGTCCATAATCCGTCTCGACCTTATATTCATTTATTTTATGTTTCATGCCATAAAGTGTTAGGCCATTATACTTGTCAGCGATAGAAACTGTTTTAAGCCACTAGTCCTTATAATAATAACATATAGCAAAACCCTTTATAACGGCACCTTTCTATTAATCCTTTAGGGAGTCGTCTAAGGTGCCGCAATTCACTTTGCAGAGTTGCATCCCTTGGACATGCCAGAAACCTATGATTGTGGGTTCGAATCCCGGTTTGCCCCGATTATGTTTCTAGGTTTGTTAAAACCATAGCCGTGCTTGTGGGTTTCACCGAAGTGGTAAACCCCTGAGAGCTGCATCACTTCAGGCTTTCCTCCCACAGCAAGCCGACACGCCGTGATATAACTGAAATACTGTTAAAAGCGGCGTTAAACCTAACTCACTCACTCACTCACTCACTCACTCACTCACTCACTCACTCACTCACTCTAATCACTCCCTCTAACCACTCACTCTAATCCTTATGATACCTTAACTATTGGGCAGTTTGAAAAGGACTATGGGACTAGTGCCAATTTCTAAATCTCACTTGTGTTATTTTTTAAAAATCTTTTAAGCTTGATCAGAGTAAGTATTATTGTAACACTTAGGGCCATAAATTCGACACAGCCGTATAGTGGACACATCTAAGTTTGAGATCATTCACTGTACATGAGCTTCTGTTGACAGATCATACCAGTGACTTGGCCCAGTATGCCGACCGCTTCCTACAGCACAACATAAATGGACGACGCCTCCTGAAACTCTCTCAGAATGATCTGTCGATTGTGGGAGTTAAAAGCCACGGTCATGTTCTAGATCTACATGTAAGTTTATGGGGTGGTGGAGTAGCCTAGCGGTTAAAGTGTTCGATCACCACTAGTCGTGGGTTTGATTCCCCACATGTGAAGGCCATTTCTAATAAGTCCCAGTATCCCATGCTTGTCATCCGCGAAGATCTGGGTGAGAATTTGTCTTCAGCAACCCATGCTTGTCATAAGAGGCGACTAACGGGATCGGGTGGTGAGGCTCGCTGACTTAGTTGACTGCATCCCAATTGCATGGATCGATGCTCATGATATCAATCACTGGATTGCCAATTCAGACAATGAAACAAACAAACCCATGCTTGTCATATAAGTGGCTTTGTTTTAATTTGGGCCCTTTCGGGCACACTGAAAATTACAGTTAACCTTGAAATATTGGTTAAAAAATTATTGGAAATGTACACGTGGCTTACAATCAGCTGTTTTTCTTTTTCATACGTTTGGTAGATCCTGACAGCTCCAGTAGGACTGAAATGAGGAAAAAAGGCTGTTGTTTTTTGTACCAAGTTTGCTTGTACTGTCTGTCTAGCTTTATTTACATCGCCACAGAAAATCAGCAAATATTATGAAATGCTTGCCGAAAACTTCTAAAATATCAGAAGGATGGCCAGTCATCTACGGCCACCAGATCCCGTTAGTCACCTTTTACGGCAAGCATGGGTTGCTGAAGACCTATTCTACCCCGGATCTTCACGGGTGGGAAATGAATGGTTACTTATTAATTCATAATTCTCTATGCAGAGTTGTGTCCCTTTGGCATGACAGAAACCTATGATCATGGGTTCGAATCCTGGTTCATCCCGATTATGTTCCTGCACCACTTTGGGTTCTCCTCCATCATTTAACCTGATATGCAGTGATATAACTGGAATACTGTTTATAAGTATCGCCACACATTTCTTGCTGCATCGCGGTATTACATGTGTTTTCTTATTTTCAGATGGAAATCAGTTTATTGAAAGCTCATAACCAGAGACTATTAAACTTCCCCCCTCTTTCAAAGGTGAGTAACCTTGTAGTAACCATGGTAACAGAGGAATGACGGGATGTATTAATTCGGTATGTAAAGTTACCGTCTTTCTGATGTCTGTGTCAGCATAGCATTGTCTTCCAGGGAATATTAGTTGTCGGAAATGGAGGTGAATGGTTTTGAGATGAAAGTTGAAAAGAGATGTCTATCCTCACAGGAGCAGAGTGCAGTGCAGGCCGCCAACGCCGACTTCAAGACCGTCACGCTCACTCTCATCTTCGGTCACCATGTGAGGCACGGTAAAACCCCCCAGGTGAGTACAGGCACTATGGGGTTACCCCGTGATGATTCCTCAGTGAGGTCGTGAATGGCAGCTTATGGATTGGGTTTATGGAGTGTACTCATAGTCTGGCGATGTGGATTGCTGTTCACAATGTCAATCACTGGATTGTCCATACTCCGATACTTACAGGCTGCCGTGGTGACTCGGTCACTTTACTGATTATGTGTCTGCTTGTCCCACTGGATCATGCTCTAACTGGTTTCAGTGACTGCTGAAATATGTTGATTTAAATTCACACACACACACATGCACGCACTCACACATGCTCGCACTCACTCACACACACACACACATGCACACACATGAACACAAGCTGGCACACATGCATACACAAACACGTGCACACTCACACGCACATACATGCACACACACACATGCGAAAACACACATATAAACACACACATGCACACACATAGCACACACACACACACACACATAAGCATGCACTCAATCACATGCACACACACACATGAAAACGCATATGCACACACACACATAAGTACACACATATTGAAGTGAAAACACACTACACACATAAAAACACATAAAAACACACATAAAAACACACATGCACACACGCACTGATTACTTTTTATGTTATATTCCCTGCCCGCCTCACTACCAAGCCCAGTGCCTCTTATAGCCATGGTGTTGGGTGTTGCTATGGTCACAACACGTGTACTATGCGAATTATATACAGGATGCTGGTCAAGTTTTAGTTGTGCTATTTCCATCCCAGAAACCAAGATGCTAATTTCCGATTTTAGAATCTTGATGAGATTGGTCACTTATGTAAACTTTGCCAACTAGATGAAAATATGCAAAATGTAATATACTATACCAAGCGTTTTGTGATACCGTATATCGCTGTTTAAGGCGACCCCCCGTATAAGACGACCCCCCTGTACACGCCTTCAAAATCAACCCAAAATCCTATACTCTGTGTATAAGGCGACCTGGAATGAAGCACATCACAAGTGCGCACACAAACCTTATATATGCAATAAAAATATGTTTATCTTGCGTTGTTTTTTCTACGATGATTGGTTGTGTGTGTAGCTCCAGCACATGTTGCCATTTTGTGTTTACACGGTACGACACCAAATTGGTGCCCGTAAAATAAAATTCATTTATGAAGTAATAACATATAAGAGACAATGGTGAGTAATTTAATTGCCAATTAACTATGTTGTAACTATGTACATATTTATTAGTACCAGTGTTTCAAATCTTGGTTTAACGGTAACACCGCTCTCTCTTGTTTGCTCTTTTGCGTTCTGCCTATTGACTCACTCACTCACTTGTGTTTTGAAGGAGCACAAGTGGAAGATGTACCTGGAAATAGACGAGGATGATGATGATGTTATTGCCGACCCTCTGACTCTCATCAAGGAGGTGGTCTTCACCTGCAAGGTGCCCAACTACGGCTCCTTTAAACTGAAACAGGTGGGTCATGATACTAACAGGTGGGTCATGATACTAACAGGTGGGTCATGATACTAACAGGTGGGTCATGATACTAACAGGTGGGTCATGATACTAACAGGTGGGTCATGATACTAACAGGTGGGTCATGATACTAACAGGTGGGTCATGATACTAACAGGTGGGTCATGATACTAACAGTGATCATGATACCAACAGGTGGGTCATGATACTAACAGTGATCATGATACTAACAGGTGGGTCATGATACTAACAGCGGTCATGATGCTAACAGGTGGGTCATGATACTAACAGTGGTCATGATACTAACAGGTGGGTCATGATACTAACAGTGGTCATGATACTAACAGGTGGGTCATGATACTAACAGTGGTCATGATACTAACAGTGATCATGATACTAACAGGTGGGTCATGATACTAACAGGTGGGTCATGATACTAACAGGTGGGTCATGATACTAACAGGTGGGTCATGATACTAACAGGTGGGTCATGATACTAACAGTGATCATGATACTAACAGGTGGGTCATGATACTAACAGTGATCATGATACTAACAGGTGGGTCATGATACTAACAGTGATCATGATACTAACAGTGGTCATGATACTAACAGGTGGGTCATGATACTAACAGGTGGGTCATGATACTAACAGGTGGGTCATGATACTAACAGGTGGGTCATGATACTAACAGTGATCATGATACTAACAGGTGGGTCATGATACTAACAGGTGGGTCATGATACTAACAGGTGGGTCATGATACTAACAGTGATCATGATACTAACAGTGGTCATGATACTAACAGGTGGGTCATGATACTAACAGTGGTCATGATACTAACAGGTGGGTCATGATACTAACAGTGGTCATGATACTAACAGGTGGGTCATGATACTAACAGGTGGGTCATGATACTAATAGTGATCATGATACTAACAGGTGGGTCATGATACTAACAGTGGTCATGATGCTAACAGGTGGGTCATGATACTAACAGGTGGGTCATGATACTAACAGTGATCATGATACTAACAGGTGGGTCATGATACTAACAGGTGGGTCATGATACTAACAGTGGTCATGATGCTAACAGTGATCATGATACTAACAGTGATCATGATACTAACAGTGATCATGATACTAACAGTGATCATGATACTAACAGGTGGGTCATGATACTAACAGGTGGGTCATGATACTAACAGTGGTCATGATACTAACAGTGATCATGATACTAACAGTGATCATGATACTAACAGTGATCATGTTACTAACAGTGATCATGATACTCATGATACTAACAGGTGGGTCATGATACTAACAGGTGGGTCATGATACTAACAGTGATCATGATACTAACAGTGATCATGATACTCATGATACTAACAGTGATCATCATACTCATGATACTAACAGGTGGGTCATGATTCTAACAGGTGGGTCATGATACTAACAGGTGGGTCATGATACTAACAGGTTGGTCATGATACTAACAGTGATCATGATACTAACAGGTGGGTCATGATACTAACAGTGGTCATGATGCTAACAGTGATCATGATACTAACAGTGGTCATGATGCTAACAGTGATCATGATACTAACAGTGATCATGATACTAACAGTGATCATGATACTAACAGTGATCATGATACTAACAGGTGGGTCATGATACTAACAGGTGGGTCATGATACTAACAGGTGGGTCATGATACTAACAGTGGTCATGATGCTAACAGGTGGGTCATGATACTAACAGTGATCATGATACTAACAGTGGTCATGATACTAACAGGTGGGTCATGATACTAACAGTGGTCATGATACTAACAGGTGGGTCATGATACTAACAGTGGTCATGATACTAACAGGTGGGTCATGATACTAACAGGTGGGTCATGATACTAACAGTGATCATGATACTAACAGGTGGGTCATGATACTAACAGTGGTCATGATGCTAACAGGTGGGTCATGATACTAACAGGTGGGTCATGATACTAACAGTGATCATGATACTAACAGTGATCATGATACTCATGATACTAACAGTGATCATCATACTCATGATACTAACAGGTGGGTCATGATACTAACAGGTGGGTCATGATACTAACAGGTGGGTCATGATACTAACAGGTGGGTCATGATACTAACAGTGATCATGATACTAACAGGTGGGTCATGATACTAACAGGTGGGTCATGATACTAACAGTGATCATGATACTAACAGTGGTCATGATGCTAACAGTGATCATGATACTAACAGTGGTCATGATGCTAACAGTGATCATGATACTAACAGTGGTCATGATGCTAACAGTGATCATGATACTAACAGTGATCATGATACTAACAGTGATCATGATACTAACAGTGATCATGATACTAACAGGTGGTACATGATACTAACAGGTGGGTCATGATACTAACAGGTGGGTCATGATACTAACAGTGGTCATGATGCTAACAGGTGGGTCATGATACTAACAGTGATCATGATACTAACAGTGGTCATGATACTAACAGGTGGGTCATGATACTAACAGTGGTCATGATACTAACAGGTGGGTCATGATACTAACAGTGGTCATGATACTAACAGGTGGGTCATGATACTAACAGGTGGGTCATGATACTAACAGTGATCATGATACTAACAGGTGGGTCATGATACTAACAGTGGTCATGATGCTAACAGGTGGGTCATGATACTAACAGGTGGGTCATGATACTAACAGTGATCATGATACTAACAGTGATCATGATACTCATGATACTAACAGTGATCATCATACTCATGATACTAACAGGTGGGTCATGATACTAACAGGTGGGTCATGATACTAACAGGTGGGTCATGATACTAACAGGTGGGTCATGATACTAACAGTGATCATGATACTAACAGGTGGGTCATGATACTAACAGTGGTCATGATGCTAACAGTGATCATGATACTAACAGTGGTCATGATGCTAACAGTGATCATGATTCTAACAGTGATCATGATACTAACAGTGATCATGATACTAACAGTGATCATGATACTAACAGGTGGGTCATGATACTAACAGGTCGGTCATGATACTAACAGGTGGGTCATGATACTAACAGTGGTCATGATGCTAACAGGTGGGTCATGATACTAACAGTGATCATGATACTAACAGTGGTCATGATACTAACAGGTGGGTCATGATACTAACAGTGGTCATGATACTAACAGGTGGGTCATGATACTAACAGTGGTCATGATACTAACAGGTGGGTCATGATACTAACAGGTGGGTCATGATACTAACAGTGATCATGATACTAACAGGTGGGTCATGATACTAACAGTGGTCATGATGCTAACAGGTGGGTCATGATACTAACAGGTGGGTCATGATACTAACAGTGATCATGATACTAACAGGTGGGTCATGATACTAACAGGTGGGTCATGATACTAACAGTGGTCATGATGCTAACAGTGATCATGATACTAACAGTGATCATGATACTAACAGTGATCATGATACTAACAGTGATCATGATACTAACAGTGATCATGATACTAACAGTGATCATGTTACTAACAGTGATCATGATACTCATGATACTAACAGGTGGGTCATGATACTAACAGGTGGGTCATGATACTAACAGGGATCATGATACTAACAGTGATCATGATACTCATGATACTAACAGTGATCATGATACTCATGATACTAACAGTGATCATCATACTCATGATACTAACAGGTGGGTCATGATACTAACAGTGATCATGATACTAACAGGTGGGTCATGATACTAACAGTGGTCATGATACTAACAGGTGGGTCATGATACTAACAGGTGGGTCATGATACTAACAGTGATCATGATACTAACAGTGGTCATGATGCTAACAGGTGGGTCATGATACTAACAGTGATCATGATACTAACAGGTGGGTCATGATACTTACAGTGGTCATGATGCTAACAGGTGGGTCATGATACTAACAGTGATCATGATACTAACAGGTGGGTCATGATACTAACAGTGATCATGATACTAACAGTGATCATGATACTAACAGGTGGGTCATGATACTAACAGTGGTCATGATGCTAACAGTGATCATGATAATGAGTCCCTTTATAATGTGCCAAATTGAGCAGACATGAATTCAGCAAGTTGATGCTCATGATGCTGTGGTATTATTACCCTGGTCAGTGGATCAGTGTGCACTCGGCTCCCGGGGGATATTCAGCTCAAGTTCACTCACTCACTCACTCACTCACTCACTCACTCACTCACTCACTTGTCGTAAGAGGCGACTAACGGGATTGGGTGGTCAGGCTCGCTGACTTGATTGATGTCATGCTCATGATGTCAATCAATGGATTGTCTGGTCCCGACTCAATTATTTACAGACCGCCGTCATAAAACTGGAATATTGCTGAGTGAGGCGTCAAACAAACAAACAAACAAAAGGACCATGTGCCACCCTCTTGATAGGCTTCATTCTGTGGTGAGGCTTATGCTTGCACAGTTCATATATGTTAACAATATGATACAGCAAATCACATAACATGTTTCCATGATAACTGAACATAAGTCGTAAGCAGAATGTGACACAAAATACTAAACCTAAGGTAATTTGATAAATATTGAACAACCGTGATGTTTACTTAACCAAGTATCTGTTTTGCCAAGCCAAATGGCACATTTGCCATATTTGGCATTGTGAAAAAAATTATCCATACCAGTTCCATAAGTTTCATACAGTCTGAAAAATTTCAAGGATTTACTTTTAACAATTTATTTCAACCAATTAGATTGCAGCATACACTCCCAAACAATTTGTAATCCAACATAACTCCCTGACAATAATGATACTGTTACCAATAACAAATCTTGATAAAATATGCATAAGTTTAATACCTGTTCTTGAATTCTCCCTAGCCTCCGTTCATCATGGAGAAATGGTGCCTGGGTATTGAGCCGGCCATGACCATTGAATGTGTCGTCACATACGAGGTAAGTAGTTACTGAAAACAGACATGAACACCTGTACCCCATGCTTGTCTCCCTTTGTTGGGATTCCGAGCAGACATGAACCCCATGCTTGTCTCCCTTTATTAGGACTCGGAGCAGACATGAACACCTGTACCCCATGCTTGTCTCCCTTTGTTGGGATTCCGAGCAGACATGAACACCTGTACCCCATGCTTGTCTCCCTTTGTTGGGATTCCGAGCAGACATGAACACCATGCTTGTCTCCCTTTGTTAGGATTCCGAGCAGACATGAACACATGTACCCCATGCTTGTCTCCCTTTATTTGGATTCCCAGCAAACATGAACACCATGCTTGTCTCCCTTTATTAGGATTCCGAGCAGACATGAACACATGTACCCCATGCTTGTCTCCCTTTATTTGGATTCTCAGCAGACATGAACACCATGCTTGTCTCCCTTTGTTAAGATTCCGAGCAGACATGAACACCTGTACCCCATGCTTGTCTCCCTTTATTTGGATTCCGAGCAGACATGAACACCATGCTTGTCTCCCTTTATTAGGATTCCGAGCAGACATAAACACCTGTACCCCATGCTTGTCTCCCTTTGTTGGGATTCCGAGTAGACATGAACACCATGCTTGTCTCCCTTTGTTGGGATTCTAAGTGGACATGAACACCATGCTTGTCTCCCTTTATTAGGATTCCGAGCAGACATGAACACCTGTACCCCATGCTTGTCTCCCTTTGTTGGGATTCCGAGCAGATATGAACACCATGCTTGTCTCCCTTTGTTAGGATTCCGAGCAGACATGAACACATGTACCCCATGCTTGTCTCCCTTTATTTGGATTCCCAGCAAACATGAACACCATGCTTGTCTCCCTTTGTTAAGATTCCGAGCAGACATGAACACCTGTACCCCATGCTTGTCTCCCTTTATTTGGATTCCGAGCAGACATGAACACCATGCTTGTCTCCCTTTATTAGGATTCCGAGCAGACATGAACACCTGTACCCCATGCTTGTCTCCCTTTGTTGGGATTCCGAGTAGACATGAACACCATGCTTGTCTCCCTTTGTTGGGATTCTGAGTGGACATGAACACCATGCTTGTCTCCCTTTATTAGGATTCCGAGCAGACATGAACATCTGTACCCCATGCTTGTCTCCCTTTATTTGGATTCCGAGCAGACATGAACACCATGCTTTTCTCCCTTTGTTGGGATTCCGAGCAGACATGAACACCTGTACCCCATGCTTGTCTCCCTTTGTTAGTATTCTGAGCAGACATGAACACCATGCTTGTCTCCCTTTGTTAGGATTCCGAGCAGATATGAACACCATGCTTGTCTCCCTTTGTTAGTATTCCGAGCAGATATGAACACCATGCTTGTCTCCCTTTGTTAGGATTCCGAGCAGACATGAACACCTGTACTCCATGCTTGTCTCCCTTTATAAAGATTCCGAGCAGACATGAACACCTGTACCCCACAGTTTGTCGTGAATGTTTTGCTGACATAAAACAATAAACACTTGTTCAGCCAAGATTCACAGGCTACATGGAAACTATGACAAGGAATGGTCTGCCCGGAGAGCAGAAAGTCAGTAGTTCCATCCACAGCTGCATCTTACAAACAAACCTATGATTATGGGTTCAAATCCAAGCTCGCCCCGATCATTTTTCTAGGCTCATGGGTTTCACCAAAGTGGTAAATATCTGAGACCTGCATCACTTGGGGCTTTCCTCCCACATTAAGCTGAACCGTGATATAAATGGAATACTGTTCAAAGCAGCTATAAACCCAACTCACTCACTACTTATCACCTCACCATTGTGAACAGGACTGGCACTCCTCATTGTCAAACCTCTAATTGCCTGTTCTCTAAAACTAATGTGGCGGATGAGGACCATTATTTATTGCCCATATGGGCTAAATATGTAGTGTATTATCTTTTTGGTATTTGCACAGTGTGCAAATTAGTGATTCTTGAAGCTGATTGGTCAGTTAACCAAAGATAAATTTTCATAGGACAACGGGACTATTTTTTTCTCATTCCGTTTATTCACAAAGCCATGGGATTCATTCACATGTTTCACGTGCAACAATCTCACTGATTCGAGATTTTTAAGACAAGAAATGTAGTTCCATATCAACCACATGATTTCACATTATAATGAACAAAGTATTTATTTCACGTGATTTTCGTTTTTCAATAAAAACCAAAACTACAATTTGTAAACAAAGATGGCTGATCATTTGACCCCTGTCAAAGTAAATGTCCTGGTACATGTGGAGGGAGATTTGACACAGGAAGAGTTATTCGTTGATGTTAAAACTGCATATGGCCAGATTGTAGTTCCAAGATTCAGGTTTCGAGTGTTGCCAGAAACTGTTTCTAGTGCGCCAAGATCAGCAGCACCAAGTCCGGGTTTGCCAGCATCTGTGCTGGAGGACTTGCTGTTGGACGAAGTTTTCGACCACCCAATATCGATGTACTTTGCTAAACTAAGGGAGGTTTTGAAGTCAAAACAAAAATAATTAAAAATACAAGGAAAAGAAAACTTACCCCAGCAAGCTAATCCTGTGTCCGATATTGAACTAAATCAACTCCGTGAATGGGGACAGCTTGACACAAAGTCTCCAGATACTGCGTTAGTCCATCAACAGCTTTTCGGCCATTAATGAATCACTTCAAAATATCAACAAACTCCTGTCATCTACTTGGCTATGACCAATTCAAGCATGTTTGGGGGGCACGGGTGGCCCAGTCATCTGAGGCCTTGTGCAGAATTGCGTCCCTTGGGCACGCCAGAAACCTATGATTGTGGGTTCGAATCCCGGTTCGCCCTGATTATGTTTCTAGGTTTGACAGCACCATACCCGTGCTCGTGGGTTTCACCAAAGTGGTAAACGTCTGAGACCTGCATCACTTCGGGCTTTTCTCCCACATTAACTCACTCACTCACTCACCTCCTAAAATCCCAGATGCGCATGTTTCCCATCAGGCACACTTGTCTCAAATCATGCACGATGTTCATACAACTTGTTATCTGGATTAAACTGTAACACTGTTGTCATTCCTGGTTTCGGCTGCCTCATATCTGGGTCAAGTCGGGTCATTCATTCCGACACTGACAACAATCATTCTTTTCAAAGTTTACCTGCTTTTCTCTAACAAACATGACTTCTGTCCATTCTGTCTATGTTGTTGTAGGTTTTGGCATTTTTTATTGACTGACACATGACAGGTTTTCCATGTTTCCTCTTCTCAATGTGAAATGCATGTCTATGCTGATGCACGATGGCGACTGTTTGTTAATGACGAGATCTTGTTAAAACAAGCCGTGATGAACCTTTTTTGAAACTTGTCTTCTAGTATCAATGCACACTGTGTACAGACATATAACTGCAATAATGTGATCTATACAGTTTTTTAACAGAACTATATTTGTAACATGTAACAACACATAAACTGAGTAATGCGGTTGGATTGGGTGGACAGTGATTTTGCACACGCAGATTGATACAAAATAAACAACATTACCTCCCCATAGATCATTCTCAACGTAGTTAGCCTCCATTCTACCTTGAATTTGGAAATACTCAATTTTGATTGGTAATCAGAGGTATCAAATCACAATTTGATGGCTGTATCACCGCGATAACTAATATTTTAAAAATAGTACTTCTTTTACAGTCATTGTCTGTAGGCATATTATAGTAATATCTACAATTACAGGTTACAAAATCAAAGTTGCAGTTACCACAATATTTAAATGATGTCTGGCAATACATTTCGTGCTGAAAACACAATAGAAATCTACAAAGAGAATGTATTTCAAGTTTTGAGGACAACAGAGAGCTTGGAATTTGTCACTTATCTATATACGACTGTGACACCATATCTTTTGCGTCACATTGAGTGATATGACGTCATTTTAGTGACGTGCGTTGTAGAACAAACCTTTACAAGGCTTGCTTAGTTTTCTTTAGACGTGCCCACGTCATGTTAGCTTACAAAGTTACCGTGCTACATGCTTTCAGCGCCTGTCATTAGTTTGTGTGAAGTATTACACTGTAAACAAACTGCATAAGCCTGTAGAGTGGCATATTTTGTTTAAAGGCTGTTTTTGGTCAGTCCGTAAATTCTGATCGACAACCGAATCAAAACACTGGACTCAACCGATGCTGCTTCACTAACACCAAAGCGTTAGCGGAGTATTTAGTCATGGTAGAATGGAGAAGACCGGTGAAGATTCCAGGGTAGAATAGGTCTTCAGCAACCCATGCTTGCCGTAAAAGATGACTATGCTTGTCGTAAAGGCGACTAACCGGATCGGGTGGTCAGGCTCACTGACTTGGTTGATGCATGTTATCGATCCCAATTGCGTGGATCGATGCTCATGATATTAATCACTGGATTGTCTGGTCCAGACTCGATTATTTTACAGATTGCCATCATATAGCTTGAATATTGCTGAGTGCGGCGTTAAACAACAAACAAAACAAAAAGAATGGAGAAAAAATAAAAAAAAGTGTTTTCAATGTGGAGGTAGGTTACCTGTACATTTAACCACATTTAATGTAACATTGGAAACTTCACCCTGCACATTCGGTTCCAAATTCAATTTCACGTGGTTAACCCTGCAGGTAACCTGGCTCTACCTTGAAAACACAGCATGTTATCTCCTAATTATATTTTGACCTAGACGAGCGTCAGGAAGCCCAAGATGACCCGACACCTCCATCACCTGGACGTGTCCAGTTCCACTCCACAGCAGAAAGCAGTCACCTTGACTCTTGAACACGCAGAGACACCTGGAGACACTCCCAATACCCCCTCTCCCATCACAAAACGCCGCCCCAAGACAAGCTCCCCACAGCTCCAAGGGGATTGGCATAAGAGGGAGACAATACGATCTCTCCATGTGGACGTCCCAGAACACCCTGCAGGTGAGTTTAGCCATGTTCGTCTTTTCTCCTACAACTGATTCGTAGTGTCACAGTAATGGGTCACTTGATGACTGGCATTAATCTGAGACTTTGTAATTTAGATAATGACATTTAGAAACTTATAGAATTCAACTTCCTGCTTGTCGTAAGAGACGACTAACGGGATCAGGTGGTCACATTCGCTGACTTAGTTGATGCATGTCATCGTATCCAAATTGCGTGGATCGATGCTCATGATGTCAGTCACTGGATTGTCTGGTCCAGACTCGATTATTTACAGACTGACATCACATAGCTGGAATATTGCTGAGTGCGGCGTTAAACAACAAACAAACAAACTTCTTGATTCTTTGGAACAGGGCTACTTTTTGCCCCTCCAGTTCTGAAAAGTGTAAGCAGAATATGATCGTGTTGAAAGATGGTCATCTGTGAGGAATAAACATTTTATTATATGAGTCTGAGATTATTTTTACGATACGGAACAAGGTTCACTCTTGGAATTGTCTGACATGGGCACATTAAATGAAAATGTCCAAGATTCCAGAGTTATAGCCACGCTGGCCTATACAGCATGAGGTTAAATTGCCCCATTGTCTTTGAAAATGTGGGCCTGTTTTTTAAGGTTAGGGTTAAAAGCACAGGGCTAAAATTATCCCCGTGGAAACACACAAGGATTGTAATTTCATTATCTTTATAATGTCATTCTCACCATATTTGGTGATTCAGACGTAATTTTACTCAAAGAAGAAGTTTTAGAAACCATGTATAAATATAATGTAGGAGTTATCTGCCCAATCCTTCCTAGGATGAACTTGCTGCAAGCTTGCATTTGTAACGTTTGTGAGAAATTAGGAGACACCTCTTGAAGCTTTTGGGATTGTGGGTGGGTAGTTAATAGAGAAAGAAGGTCTTGCACTGGTGTATGGAGCTTGGAAGTCGTTCCTGCTGGAAGATCTCATTTATCTGACCCAATTGCAGGGATTGATGCTCATGATATCAATCACTGGATTGTCTGATCCAGACTCGATTATTTTACAGACCGCCGTCATATAGCTGGAATATTGCTGAGTGCGGCGTTAAACAACAAACAAACAAACAAACAATCATTTATCTGATCGTGATACCACATTCAGTGTACTGGTTATTCACACAGATAACACTGTCTTTTACATGATTAATAGAGAATCTCACCCTCGTGTCTTTTGATATCAAATATATCAACATGAGTTGATAAAAGGGGGAAAAAAGGTTTTTCCATTTTTATGAATGAGTGTTGATACATTTGATATCAAAAGACACGAGGGTGAGATTTTATTTATAATCCAACATCATTCTGCCAACTTTTTCAGTTTGTAGACAGTAATAAGCAGTGTCTTAAGTGTAAAAAGTACTGCTAACAGCTTCAGTAGCAGAGCCATTAGTGATGCCATTTGATTGTGATGTCATGGTAACCAATGACGTCATAATGGTCTGCAAAGCACCCAAGCGATATCTCCTGTGGGAGACAATTTTGGATGATACAATGTTTATCATCCAAAACTGGCTTGGCAAGCCTCAGAGTTTTTCCACTTTTCTCCACTCGTGTTGATATATTTGATATCAAAAGACACTTGGGTGAGATTCTCTATTCATCCTACATTGAACATTTGATCTACTCCCTGACAATGTTGGAATGTTTCAGTGAAGTCCGACCTGTGGTCGAGCATCGTGGCCAGGAGGAAGCCTTCCCTCACCTCACTGCAGCCGAAGCCCATCCCTGGGACCAACATGTCCCTCTACACTCCGCCCCCCTTCGACTGCAGCAACCACAACCAGTTCCCCAACACCCTTGGCTCCGCATCACCCAGCATCCCCCGGGATGAACAAGGTCAAGGTAATCGCAGTGCCAAAGTCAGCTTCTTCCTTGACGAGGAGTCTTCTGGGAGCAATGAGAGTGGATTTAGCGAGGCTCCTCAGACTCCAGGGGTTGGTAGGGGGATGGGGAGCTATGCCGAGGCGTGTCGCACGGACCATCTGGGTGGGAGCGGGAGAGGGGCTAGTAGGGCAATCAGGGGGAGTGTTGGCAAGGGGGATGGTGAAGACGGGCAAGAGTTTGAGGGGTCCTGGATGAAGGTGGCAAGTGAACCTAAGTTTGGAAGTCCTCCACCTTATGAACGGAGCTATCGGCGGACAGTCAGTGATGGGCAGGCAAACAATAGGGGGCGCGGGGGTAGGAGGGGGAGAGGGTTGTACATTGACACGGGAGGGAGGGGGCGGGGTTACGATGGGTATAGGGAGGGTGACAAGTATGGAGGGAGGGGTGGGTCTCGATACAGGGGGCGGGGTAATGATGAGTTTCGGGGGCGGTATGATGGATCTAGAGACAGGGGTAGGGGTTCTGATGGGTTTAGAGGGCGGGGTAACGATGGGTTTAGAGGGCGGGGTAATGATGGTTTTAGAGGGCGGGGTAACGATGGGTTTAGAGGGCAGGGTTCTGATGGGTTAAGAGGGCGGGGTAATGAGGGGTTTAGAGGGCAGGGTAATGAGGGGTTTAGAGGGCGGGGTAATGAGGGGTTTAGAGGACGGGGTAATGAGGGGTTTAGAGGACGGGGTAATGAGGGGTTTAGAGTGCGGGGTTCTGACTTTAGAGGGCAGGGTGGTGACATCTCCAGGGACAGAGGGAAGGGTGAGGAGAGTTTCAGAAACAGAGGAGGTGGGTATGATCGAGATCCACGAAGGACAGACCAAAACAACCAGGGGAAGGAGGAATATCAGGTAGGGGATGAGGCATGGGATAAAGATGGGGAAGAAAATCGCAGGGGGCATGGGCAATGGGCAGGGGCTCATCAAGGTTGGAGACAGATCAGTACAGATGGGGGGTTTGAGGAGGGGGAACAAGGAGGGTCCGTTAGGGGGAACCGCAGGTACGGAGAACGTGGGGCAAGACACACCCGGGGCAGGGGGAGTGCAGAGAGACGGGGGGGACACAGGGGCAGAAGAGGGATCCGAGACAGCCAGGACTCAAGACCTCATTCAGGGCAACGTACTGACACACAGACACAACTCAACCCTGGCACCATGTCAAAAGACATTACAGATGATGAAGAAAGAAACGGCAGCCAGGATTGGACGACGATCACCCGAGGTCGCAGCGCAAGTCAAACCTCAAATGGTTCCAACTGCTCATTGTCAGGTCAGAGGTCAAGGTCAGCTGGTCATCAAAGTCAGGGTTTATTGAGAAGAAATCGCCCAACGAGTCCGTCGAGAGACACGTCCAGCCAATACAGATAACACGTTATTCAGCAGGGTATTTGTGCTTCGGAATTGTAAATAGTTTGTAAGTTATTTTAATGACAAACGTTGACTCCACAGTGACGCATACAATGTTTGTGCCCTGCTGAATGAAAACATTACCCCAGTTATTCATCATCACAAACATCATCATTCCAAGCAATGTGTGTCATGTGTAGTGGATGGATGCTATATCACAGGTAGTGTCACCTGATAGACAATCACAAATAAAGCTATGTTCATCAGTGCAACACCCACCAATGCATCAGTCTCATATATACCTGAGCAACAGATAAGCTGCGTATTTGCGTAAAATACCCCCCAAAATATTCAAAACCCAATTACCGGTACTTTCAATCAACTTGCGTCAAGAAACGCATGCATTATAAAAAACCTCAAATGTATAAAAACAGCATGTGTAAATACCCAATGAAGTTTTTTCAGCAAGCGTACAATGGAGCTAATTTCTGACACAATTACGAGCTAGTTTACTTTGAGTCAAGCCTATAGTTAGAACTGTGATATACATCTAAAACATTATTTTCTTTGTTTTGAAATCTCAAAATGGTTATGCATTTTGGGAAGGCCCCAATAGAGTGAAAATAGATGAGATTGAAAATATTTCTTACCCAATTAAAATGGAAACCTTCAAGTGAAAATTCAATTGCTCAAAAAGTTATCTGGAGCTATGTATACTCATCGCCAAAAGAAACGCGAACCATAAAAACATGTGGAGAAATATGTACGTAAAGAATAGATGTTTCCAATGTTTACCACTTAATGACAAAACTAACAATCAAGTGTCACCGCAGTGCGTCCTTTTTTTTATCATGATATGCTGCCCGTGATTTCCAAACTTAACATGCTAATCCTGCACGAGACAAATAGTGCATCTCACGTTATGGATCGATGATGCAGATGTGAAGCTTTCATGAGTATCGGTTCACACAACATACCAGTAAGATAGTTTGTACATCAAATCAATCTAATATCTCTTGAACATGATTATGTCTTCGTCTTCGCGTTTCTTTTGGCAGTGCGTATAGATGATGGCGCTTCCCACCAAGTTAACATGTACACTCTAGAGCTGGGACGGGTAACTCGGGTACCCGGGTCGGTTGAGTAATGAGTAGGACCCGGGTACCCACAGGACTACCCGGACCCGTGGTTAGTCACGTGATATATATTGTTTAATGACACAAATTATGCACCAATTCCTTCTGACTTTTCATATGGTTGAAGATATAAAGATATAACCTAAGTCAACTTCAGTGTATGCATGACCCGATTGTTTAATACATGTGTCTAAATATGTTTTGCCAGTGCTATGGTAAAAAAAAATCCCAATCGGACATTTTGTACCTATCTCTTGAGGCCTACAGTGGGTACCCGGGTAGGGTCGGGTAATAGGGGGGTGGGTACCCGGGTAGTAAATTTGGACTCGTCCCAGCCCTAGTAAACTTGTACAAGGAGGTTCAACAACCAAAGTAAACACCCTCCTTGATTCAAGATCCACATGGGTACAGCCCTGGGAAGAGGTTCATCTACAACCAAGTTATTTTGCATCTTAAAGTTTTGGTGACTTGATATGTTGAATAAAAAACATTTGGACGCTATATCGATTCTATTTCCAAATAGTATTTATATTTTAGGCGTTGTGTTATAACTTGTGGAATGTTCCTTCAGACCATTGTGTAAGAGGTTTTATTTGTGCAGGTTACTTAGTGGTCAACCACGTAGTGTTCTTGGGGGCTTGGGATACTTGATTGAGACAACATTGTTTCTGGGTCTTTCAAAACGTGCTTTATTCTCTGCCAAACAGTGTAGAGGAATGACGTCATGTGTTTCCCATGGCATTTGACATTTGTCATGTCCAGTGAGGTAAATGATATTTCTCCAGCATTTTCTGGAACAAACTGATTTTGGTCGGGGGGGGGTTGTGTATTTTTTACATCCAGATTCCCTTGAAATATTTGGTCGCTTACATGCAACTGCAGTGACTTTTGTGGTCATTTTTGTGACTATTACTATTCAAAAGCAATGTCTCTCCAGGTGCTCATTGGTATTTCTGTTAACGTCATCTCACATTACGTGTTTAGTTTCAGCAGTTGTGACATATGGATTTTTTTCAAGCATCATAACACGTTAGACTTATGTACATGTTCCCTATATTGGTATTTCATGGCAAGTGGCAGCTGTCTATATATATACGATATATGTATGTCTCTGTCTTATGCTGCTCAACTTCTCACAGGGGCAGTGTGTACATTTGTAAGGTCACAGTTTTGTGACCAATGGAATGATAAGAATATCCTCAGAATAACTGAGCAGTGTATACTAAGTTTGTAGTTTATTGGTAAAGGTGTGACCATGTCTTGTTAGTTACTTTACATGTGTAACTTTGTGCTGGTTCATGTTGGTGAAGATGTTTTTAATCCTTTAGATTGTTATATGAAGCTGAAGACATTTTGATCATGCACCTGGGTTGAAGTGACAGTGGATCTTCCATCAGGACGTTGTTCAAACAGCATTGGTCAGAAGTAGTACTTGTTAGTGTTTGATGGATGGATGAGGCGAGTAATAATCTTAGATGTTGCATGGTTACCAGGGTGCCGTTGTACAAAACAACTTTAGGACTATGACTGTTGTAAGTCGATGTTAAGGTATGGGAGTTACGATCACCTTAGTGCTAAGATCGCTCTGTACAACGGCCCCCTGATCTAATCTTTCACACAAGGTTCAAATGAGCCAAAGCTTATCATCAATAATTCTGGCAACAGTGTCTCTAACATCTTCTCACTCTCAACTATTTTGAAACATTGCCCAATATTGAATATGTCAATTTTCTCACCCGTTTTATGCATGTAGTTACAGTATGGACAAATCAGTGTTTGGGGCATTTCTTTTATTTTTAACCCATTTTGGCCGATAATAAATATTCATGCTGTTTTGTTGTATCAGAACTGATTGCTTACACTTTGTCAAACCTTTTATGTCATTCATGATGTTGCAAATTTTCGAGACATTTATAAGTGAGCTACAGAGCATTTTTAAAATCATGCATCAGTTTTTATTATTTTCTTCAAAGCTGAGCTGACCTCAAACGTTTAGCCAAAATATTTCAGATGATGTTCGTGTATTATTAATTTTTATTTTGAGTCGATGAAATCAGGTCTTTATGGGCAAATATCTAAAAATAATTACTTCATATTTTGCAGATCTTTGTCATCATACTGCAATGTTTGTGTGTTGATATGTGAAGTCTTGTGTTATGGAATGAGAGGTTGTGCGGTAATATGTTTGTAGTGTTTGCATCAGGGTATTCCTGTCAGGTATTTCCATGTCTATTTTCTGTGTGGTCCAGTGGCGGGCTAGGGTGGTCCAGTGTAGGGCAAGGGTGGTCCAGTGGCAGGCTGGGGTGTTCCAGTGGCGGGCTAGGGTGGTCCAGTGGCAGGCTGGGGTGGTCCAGTGGCGGGCTAGGGTGGTCCAGTGTAGGGCTAGGGTGGTCCAGTGTAGGGCAAGGGTGGTCCAGTGTAGGGCAAGGGTGGTCCAGTGTAGGGCAAGGATGGTCCAGTGTAGGGCAAGGGTGGTCCAGTGGCGGGCTAGGGTGCTCCAGTGTAGGGCTAGGGTGGTCCAGTGGCGGGCTAGGGTGGTCCAGTGTAGGGCTAGGTTGGTCCAGTGTAAGGCAAGGGTGGTCCAGTGTAAGGCAAGGGTGGTCCAGTGTAGGGCAAGGGTGGTCCAGTGTAGGGCTAGGGTGGTCCAGTGGCAGGCTGGGGTGGTCTAGTGGCGGGCTAGGGTGGTCCAGTGTAGGGCAAGGGTGGTCCAGTGTAAGGCAAGGGTGGTCCAGTGGCAGGCTGGGGTGGTCCAGTGGCGGGCTAGGGTGGTCCAGTGTAGGGCTAGGGTGGTCCAGTGGCGGGCTAGGGTGGTCCAGTGTAAGGCAAGGGTGGTCCAGTGTAGGGCAAGGGTGGTCCAGTGTAAGGCTGGGGTGGTCCAGTGTAGGGCAAGGGTGGTCCAGTGGCGGGCTAGGGTGGTCCAGTGTAGGGCAAGGGTGGTCCAGTGGCGGGCTAGGGTGGTCCAGTGTAGGGCAAAGGTGGTCCAGTGTAAGGCAAGGGTGGTCCAGTGGCAGGCTGGGGTGGTCAAGTGGCGGGCTAGGGTGGTCCAGTGTAGGGCAAGGGAGGGGCAGTATTTGTTTGGAGTGTTTGCATCAGGGTATTCCTGTCAGGTATTTCCATGTCTATTTTCCGTGTCATCATGACCAGGTCATTCCCAGGTTTGCCCTCTGGTCTTGTCTTTCAAGTCGGTGTACCTCGCAGGGGGATAGTGTGGGTGGCATCTGGTCTTCCTATACGAGATGTTGGGACAACAACCTTAAGAAATGAATATGATTCTGTCCGGTGGTGGGCACGGGTGGTCAAGTGTTGAGAGTTATGTATGTTATATCTCTGTCGTGTTGAGTGGGGGCACGGGTGACCCAGTCGTCAAAGGCGCTGCAATTCACTGTGCAGAGTTGCGTCCCTTGGGAGTGCCAGAAACTTATCATCGGCATTAAACCCAACTCACTCATTCGCTCTTGCTGAGTGTGGGATTAAACAACAAACACACTCACACTAAACATTATCGCTCAACCATGCTTGTGTCTCAGATTTTGTAATTTTGTCTAAAGCTTTTCCTTCCTTTGTTGGCTGGTGCCAAGGAGCAACCTGTGTGCTCGGGCTGTGAACAGTGGTAGTTGCAATGGTCATAGCTCTGAGATGCTTTGTGAAACACAGCTCTGAACAGGTGATATTCTCCAGAAACATGTCTCAAGTACTGACAAGAACTGAACTTGTCCAAACTTTCACATATCAGTTTCCAGGAGTCGGTTCCCTGAACGTTAATATGCTCAAGACCATTCATTCGTTTGTTGCTGTATTTCATTTGCTGTAATTAGGCAGTATTTTGTATAGCTTGATTTACAGAAGTGCCGACTATTTAAATCAACATCGCTGCTCAGCAATCTT